AGTCAGTCTGCTGCAATCCAGAGTTCACAGAAGCAGTTTGCCTCTAGATATGGCACCCAGTTAGTGTCCTCAAGCCAATCACCCTGCAGGGAAGCACTTATGGTGGATCACTCCAGCCTCAAGGTACCACAAGTCAGTTTGCATCTGGTCTCAATCCTATCCAAGTGTATCACTATCCTCGCCCCAGGGTTCCTCCAGTCAGTCTGCTGCAGTCCAGAGTTCACAGAAGCAGTTTGCCTCTAGATATGGCACCCAGTTAGTGTCCTCTAAGCCAATCACCCTGCAGGGAAGCACTTCTGGTGGATCACTCCAGCCTCAAGGTACCACAAGTCAGTTTGCATCTGGGTCTCAATCCTATCCAAGTGAATCACTATCTCGCCCAAGGTTCCGCCAGTCAGTCTGCTGCAGTCCAGAGTTCACAGAAGCAGTTTGCCTCTAGATATGGCACCCAGTTAGTGTCCTCCAAGCCAATCACCCTGCAGGGAAGCAAGTATGGTGGATCACTCCAGCCTCAAGGTACCACAAGTCAGTTTGCACCTGGGTCTCCATCCTATCCAAGTGAATCATTATCCTTGCCCCAAGGTTCCTCCAGTCAGTCTGCTGCAGTCCAGAGTTCACAGAAGCAGTTTGCCTCTAGATATGGCACCCAATTAGTGTCCTCCAAGCCAATCACCCTGCAGGGAAGCAAGTATGGTGGATCACTCCAGCCTCAAGGTACCACAAGTCAGTTTGCATCTGGATCTCCATCCTATCCAAGTGAATCACACTCCTTGCCCCAAGGTTCCTCCAGTCAGTCTGCTGCAATCCAGAGTTCACAGAAGCAGTTTACCTCTAGATATGGCACCCAGTCAGGGTCCTCTAAGCCATTCACCCTGCAGGGAAGCACCACCGATGGTGGGTCACTCCAGCCTCAAGGTACCACAAGTCAGTTTGCCTCTGGGTCTTCAACCTCCTATCCAATTGTAACACTATCGTTGTCCTCGTCCCAAGGTGTTGCTGACCAGTCCGGCCAAGCAGTTCAAAGCTATTCTGGGTACCAAAGCCAAAAGTCTCAAAGATGGCAGCCTTCACGAGGTATTCATGCCTCGGGTGGAGCTGCATCATGGGGTAGCTCTCTGTCTCAAAGCTCTCCAATGCAGAGTTTCTTTTCTTCCCTGTCGTCAGCAGGAGGCTCATCTTCAGCATATCCTGGACCATTTGTTTCTGCACAGGGTGGTAGCAGCAGACATGGTGGCATTTCTCTTCATTCTCAAAGCCCCTCTAGGAAGTACACTCCTGGGTCTCATGCATATGCCATGCTTGGTTCCTCTCCCCTAGCTGTTTCTAGCCAGTCTACCAGTGATAAGTGGTCAAATGGCCTGTATAGGTCAGAGTCTCTGGGAACCCAGGGTCTCATTGGTGTAATTGAAAGACCCTCTAGGCTCTCGTCTCAAGCTCCTGACTCTACAAGCAGTAACCAAATATCTGAGCATTTTGGGACCATGAAACGCCCCACAGGTTCAAACCTAACTCCATCTCTAGGCTTGAGTGCCCTAGAATCATCTGTTGGCATGTTCTACAGTATCCCACAGACTGCACATGCACTACGTAACTCTGGGTCAGATGTCCAGCTAAACAATAAACCATTCCTCAATCAGCGATACTCTGTAAAGGGCTAAGGAACTCTATAAAACAGCTATGTTATGCAAAGTGTCTTCCAGAATAAAAAAAATCAAATGTGTAACAGTTTTTTTTTCTTGTGCTTTTGTTTATCCTACATTCAAAGGATAGAAATCCATGTTAGTTTAGTTTAACTAGGAAAAAGGGGTGCCATATAGGGTTTTGAGCACCAAATTGGTCAGTTTTTAGTCGGTTGCTGTTTAAATCGTGTTTTGTTGGCATTGACTGAAAAAAATTTACATTAAAAAAGAGAGAAATATCATCCATCAGTATATGGCATATCTTGGTGTTAAAATATTGGTCACTGGTACCTGCCTCAAAATCCTGATGTGTGCAATACTATTTTCTAGTCAAAGCTTTAATTTTCTCTTTTTTTTTTTTTGAATGTGTACCTTAAATATTTTGCACTGGTGCCGGATCTATTCGTGTTTCATTGGTTTGTCCATTGATTCAAATAGAGAAATTAATACATGGTTGATCAAATTTAAAGATTATTGGGCAAGTGAAAAACCATTGCAAAAATGAACTACTGGCCAGAGATTCAAATTAACTTTACTGAACTTAACCTGAGGTTAAAAAATTAAGCTAAAAATGGCTTTTAAACTAAAAGATTTGTTATAAACTGAAGACTTTGTAGTAGTTGATGGGGCTACAGGGTTTAAGTGGGAGAACATAAAAAAAAATTGGGCTTATTTTAGGTTAATTTTCTCATTCCTCTGTTGTATTTCATTTGTCCACTGATTTAGACTGTTATGAATAGCTTGTAAATGACGTTCCACATGCTACTAAAGAGTGGTGCAGTGATCATTAAAACCAAGAACCACATAAAAAAGAACCCATTTCTCATTTGGCTGTCTTCCCCTTTTGAGACCATTTCTGAGACATTTTAGTGGGCAAAAGTGTGGATAAAAAAAAAAAAAACATGGCATTGTACTTAATAAGTTCAGTGTTTGAGATACTTTGCTGATAGAAACGGACAACATGTTCTCATGAGTATTCGTATGTATTTTACCTCACGTCCATTAACTTATTTCCATAGACAATGAAACCTACAATATTGTATTTCAGAGAATTGATCCTTTCATTTTGTTATTTAAAATAAGCAATCATTTGGTTTAGCCACTAATAACATGACCTCATATGTTAATGTATTTTATTCTGCGTAGTAAAGAACAATGACTTTCACCTGTGACACATTGATTGAGCAAATTGCCAGGTGCAGGTAGAGCCATTCTGATTTACATCTGCATAAAATTGGATGGTAGCACCATAATGTGTTATTGAAACAAGCTTAGCAATAATGGGGTTTTGGCAGGTTGGATTTGGATTGGTGTTTATTCTTGCACTTGGATTTTCTGAAGCACAATGGAGAGCAAGAGCAGCGCACAATCAGAGTCCAAGTGAGTTTAGGCCTAGAACATTAGCTCAAGCTTCTCAACAGTCTGAATCCTGGATGTCTTTGGTTCCCAGCAACAATGCATTTGCACCACAGAGCTTTCCCGCTCAGGTTCCTGTCCAGACACCAGTCAGCACTGACTTAAGAAAGTCTTCTCAAGACCTTATGGGTGTTCAATTAAAAGAGCTGTTGCAGGGTCCAGTGGCAAAACTGACGTGGAGCTTTCCAAGTCTACCAGAAGAACCACAGCAGCCAGACGTTCCTTTTGAGTTGCCTTATCCTGTCCCTGCCAACAGTGTAGCTGCTCAGTGTGGAGAGAATTCAGTATATGTGGAAGTGATGAAGGACTTCTTTGGGACTGGGCACCCACTGTTGTCCTCTGGTTTTACACTGGGAGGCTGTACTGCAACTGGAGAGGATTCTTCTGCTCAAGTGCTGATCTTTGAGTCTGAACTGCATGGATGTAGCGGCACCTCAATGGTAAGGTTCTGTTGTGACCATAATCATACAGTAGGTATTCTGAACTGTCCATGTGACTGTTCTTCTTTTATTCTTTCTGTTTAGGTGACTGAGGATGAGCTTGTCTATAGGTTCAACATTATGTACACCCCACAAGAGGCTTCATATGGTGTTCCTATTGTCAGGAGCAGCGGTGCGGTGGTTGCCATCGAGTGTCATTATCCAAGGTGAGGATTCAATTAATTCAGGCTCAACGGATGTTCTAATCCTGCCATTTATGGGCAAGAGATGACCACTTGTTTAACTCCTACAGAACACATAATGTGAGCAGTGACGCCTTAATGCCCACTTGGATCCCATATGCCTCAACTGAGTTTGCAGAGGATGTGTTCGTCTTCTCCCTCAAGCTCATGACTGGTTGGTATAGCCCATACAGATTTGTAGAATGTTTGTTTGTGATTCATCTGTTAAGATTATTATATATATTTTTTCAGATGACTGGAGATTTGAGAGACCTTCTAACCAGTACTTCCTGGGTGACATAATAAATCTTGAAGCATCAGTGCGTTTGTACAGCCATGTTCCCATCCGTGTGTTTGTGGACAGCTGTGTGGCTACTGCAGTCCCTGATGTTGCTTCTGTCCCCAGATACTCCTTTATTGAGAATAATGGGTGAGAGGTGCTACCTCATGTATCCCAGCTTCCAGAAGGGTTGTGTGATTTCTAACTGGGTTCTGTTCACAGGTGCCTGGTTGATGCCAAGCTCACAGGCTCCACGTCTCACTTTATGCCCCGGACTCAAGGTGATAAGCTAAGGTTTCAGCTAGAGGCGTTCAGGTTCCAGCAAGCGGACAGTGGGCTGGTAAGCATGTCATGTAGTTGTGCAACTCTTTTTATGATATGCTGCCATGGTGTACAAACAATTGTCTCTGCAGGTCTACATCACGTGCATTTTGAAGGTGGCTGCAGCAACATCTCCAAGTTCTGAACAGAAAGCTTGCTCATTCTCTGCTAATGGGTATGTCGCCTGCTAAATACGTGTACAGGTGAATTGGTTGTGTTAACTTATTTGAGGGTTTGTTTTGTCAGGTGGGTGTCTGCAGATGATTCTGACCAGGTTTGTGGCTGCTGTGACACAACGTGTAGCATTAGAAGTGGAAGTGATCAACTGCTTGCAGGTTTGGATTAACTCTGAGAAGTTGTTATTGGCATACATGACTTTAGTTCTCACTAATCATTTGTTCCTCAGATCTACGCTGGGAGAAGGCATCTGTCGGCCCCATCAATGTTAAAGAATATGGCTATGGCCAAAAATAACTGGAAATGTCATGGTGATTTTTAATAAATGTTGCTAATATATTTGGGTTTTTTGGTGTTTTTACTTGCACAGATACTACACTTTTGAACTTGTCAACATGGTTTCTGGTCAGTCATGTACCACAAAAATCCTAATTCTACTGGCCTTTATGGGAGGTACCTTTTGCTCAAGCCATTTGTGGGGCTAGGCCTATTACAACTCAAAATTGAGGTTTTTGTACCAGAGGAACCTTTTCCTAGAACTATTGGCGGAAGTACCTGGATTTTTGTTGTGTTTACACCGCAGGAACAAGGAATGATTTTAGTTCTAGGAGCTAATTTGGCTCCTGTTTTAGAATAGGGTCTCAACCAGCACGAACCGTCTGTGATGCAAGTGTATGCTGATTGGCCGAACGCATGTGAACCACCAGCACTTGCCATTTTTACATGTAATGAGTGTAAACACTGATATGTTATAGCACTTGACTAAACTTACTATGTACATTTATGTACATGTATAGCTATATTTAACACTGCATGTACATAACATATATTATATTACTACAGATGTACATTACGCACATGCATATAAGACATTACATTGTATACACAACACACAATGTGTATGTTAGAAAATGTGGAATTAATTAGGAACATTTGATGAATTTATTTTGTGTGTGTGTTTAAACTTTTTTTTTTTTTTTTTTTCTTTTGGGAGAAGATTCATAATGTAATCAAATAAATGTGTAACTCCTTTCTGAGCTCTGCTCTGTTATTTTTATTGAATTATATTGAGGATTCCCTTTACAAAAAAAAGGGTTTACAATGTTTTAATTTGAAAAAAAAAAAAAAAAAAACCCTGCATACTTACAGCATGGATTTCCCAGTCAGGACCCACACTGGGTCACATGGATCAGATAATAGTTTTGTTTTCCATTGAAGAAATTACAAGTCAACATTCAAGACTGCAAGAGTTCCAAATCACACGGGCCTTAGTATTAAATTAGGCCCTGTTTACACGAGAACGCTCGCTGGTGAAAACGTAAAAATATTTTATCGAATGTGCCTTTGCGTTTTTACTTTTGGGTAAAAACGCAAAAGTCTGCTTGACAGTGAAGGTTGTACGCAGGCGCGCGTGCTTTGTGTTTCAAACTGCTTTGAAATCACCTTCTTACTTGTACCCGATTTGCTTCAAACTTCATCAGAATAATGCCAAGACACGACAGAAGTAAACGTGTGAATGGGATTCTTGATACCTTGAATACTGTTGTTATGGCAATGCATAAAACTTTTATATTTTGTTTGGGTATTTCTGAGACTCTTAGCATGCTTCAAAATGCATGAAACTCGACACACACACACACACACACACACACACACATACACATCAGAATTGTCAGCCAGTAGACATGGGCAAAGCCTTAAAAATAGCGTGTAGGAGCGTAGTATCATATTTAAACATAGGCCTAGATTTAAACAGGGTTGAAAAAAGCCTTGTTGCTGAGAATTTTTCAGACTTAATTATCAAAAATGTTGAATTTTTGGCTCAACTAACTGGTAAACAGTCTCAGAGTCCTCAGAGCATTTTGGCTGAGTTTTATCCCAGAGACTCCAAAAATTTGTCTTACTTCCTTCCTAAAATAAACCTTTATAAAGGTCAACCTGATGTGATCAGACACATTTTGTTTAAAGTGAATGACTATCCTATGCATACAATACACAGTTACACACTTTAAAATGTTTAAACACCTTCATAAATCTATCACCAATTATCTTTTAACAGCCAGTTAGTTTCCCAGGTGAACAATGTTTCATGTAATTAGTTATTTGCCATAATTGGACTGATGAATGTCTATAAAATACACTTATCTCCATTTGCATATGTTTGCAATTGTAGTGTCTGTGTGGTGGATTGAGAAAGTGAATGTTGGGGCTTTGGAGTACTCTAGGTTTTTGTTTGCCATGGACAAAGGGTGGACACAGTGAGTTTATTCAATCAACCTCAGTTTGTGAATGATTTGGCAAATTTATTTACCTAATGTATTTACTTTTAGGTTACACTTGTTTGTAATCTTCCTGCTCTTTTTGAGTAATGCTCATGGATTTAAAGGTAATGTGTTTTTTTTTCTTGCAAAAGATTTTAAATTGTGAGAATTGTTTTTCTACAAATTTTCTATTTTGTCTAATTCACAGCTGGAGCTCATTCAGATGCCAACCACTGGTGGGGCCAACCTTCAGATAAATCTTTCTCACCTCGTGCAGTCCAGTCTTCTGTGTCAGAGGTCCCTGTGACTGGGATTTTGCCTGAAGAAGTGGGCTCTAGTTTATTCACTAACAGACCCCTGAAAAGGTTGAACTTGCTCCAATTTGTTAAAGGTGGTGTTTCCAGCAGGCATGAATCAATGTCCCATGCCCAGACCACTCCAAGCAGCTCTGTTTTAGCTTCCTTGCCTGTACCCTTAAATGAACTGCATGCAGGCCATTTGACATCACTCCAGGGTTCCTCTGGTTCAGCCGCTACAGATACTACTAGTGTGTCTACGCAAGGAGAAAGTAGCTTCCCTGCCACACTTGGCAATTCTGGCCTGTCCACCAGTGATCAAAGTTCCCCTAGTTTGTACGTGACCAGTTCCCTGGAAACCTCTGGTGCCTTGGGTCAATATAACCCGGGCTCCTATAACGAGCTCAGTTCTTCATCTGTTTCTAGTCCGTCTACCAGTGACCAGAGTACCCCCAGTTTGTATAGTTCTAGCTTTCAGGGAAATTCGGGCAGTTTTTTGGAAGCTTCTGGCTCTTTTCAAGGGGAAGTGGCAGGGCTTGGCTCTCATGTTGACTTGTTTCCCCAATCACAGGACCGCTCCAGTCAGCTTCTACCCTCACCCTTGGAGGTCTCTAGCCAGTCTACTAATGGTCAAAGCACTCCCAGCCTGTTTATGCTTGGCTCTGACAGCAGTTCAGGATCACAGTCAGCAGGTCCTGCTTCACCTCTAGACACTCAGGGTAGTCTCTCTCAAAGCATTTCTAGCCAGTCCACAAGTGTTCAGAGTTCACCTAGTGTGTCTACAAGCACCCAGAGCAGGTCTGCCACTCCATTAACTTCCAGTAACTTATTCCCTGTGCAGGGAGGTAGTAGTTCTACTTCTAGCTTATATCTGAAGCCTCAGGGCACTCTTGGTCGGTATGCCCCTGCGTCCCATACCAAATATGCGAGTATACCCATGTCGTCACACCTAGCTATTTATAGCCAGTCAAAAAGTACCTCTGGTCCTTGGTTTGAGGGCTCTACTGGCTTTGCCTCCCAGGGAATGAGTAGCACTTACAGTGGTTCTGTCCAGTCTCAAGGTACCACAAGTCAGTTTGCCTCTGGGTCTCCATCCTCCTATCCAATTGTAACACTATCCTCACCCCAAGGTTCCGCCAGTCAGTCCGCTACAGCCCAGAGTTCATGGAAGCAGTTTGCCTCTAGATATGGCACCCAGTCAGGGTCCTCTAAGCCAATCACCCTGCAGGGAAGCACTTACGGTGGATCACTCGAGCCTCAAGGTACCACAAGTCAGTTTGCATCTGGGTCTCAATCCTATCCAAGTGTATCACTATCCTCGCCCCAAGGGTCCTTCAGTCAGTCTGCTGCAGTCCAGGGTTCACGGAAGCAGTTTGCCTTTAGATATGGCACCCAGTTAGTGTCCTCTAAGCCAATCACCCTGCAGGGAAGCAAGTATGGTGGCTCACTCCAGCCTCAAGGTACCACAAGTCAGTTTGCATCTGGATCTCCATCCTATCCAAGTGAATCGCACTCCTCGCCCCAAGGTTCCTCCAGTCAGTCTGCTGCAATCCAGAGTTCACGGAAGCAGTTTGCCTCTAGATATGGCACCCAGTCAGGGTCCTCTAAGCCATTCACCCTGCAGGGAAGCACCACTGATGGTGGGTCACTCCAGCCTCAAGGTACCACAAGTCAGTTTGCCTCTGGGTCTCTATCCTATCCAAGTGCATCACTATCCTCGCCCCAAGGTTCCTCCAGTCAGTCTGCTGCAGTCCATAGTTCACAGAAGCAGTTTTCCTCTAGCTATGGCACCCAGTCAGGGTCCTCTAAGCCATTCACCCTGCAGGGAAGCACTTATGGTGGATCACTCCAGCCTCAAGGTACCACAAGTCCGTTTGCATCTGGGTCTCAATCCTATCCAAGTGCATCACTATCCTTGCCCCAAGGGTCCTCCAGTCAGTCTGCTGCAGTCCAGAGTTCACGGAAGCAGTTTGCCTCTAGCTATGGCACCCAGTTAGTGTCCTCCAAGCCAATCACCCTGCAGGGAAGCAAGTATGGTGGATCACTCCAGCCTCAAGGTACCACAAGTCAGTTTGCATCTGGATCTCCATCCTATCCAAGTCAATCACACTTCTCGCCCCAAGGTTCCTCCAGTCAGTCTGCTGCAATCCAGAGTTCACAGAAGCAGTTTGCCTCTAGATATGGCACCCAGTTAGTGTCCTCCAAGCCAATCACCCTGCAGGGAAGCAAGTATGGTGGATCACTCCAGCCTCAAGGTACCACAAGTCAGTTTGCACCTGGGTCTCCATCCTATCCAAGTGAATCATTATCCTTGCCCCAAGGTTCCTCCAGTCAGTCTGCTGCAGTCCAGAGTTCACAGAAGCAGTTTGCCTCTAGATATGGCACCCAATTAGTGTCCTCCAAGCCAATCACCCTGCAGGGAAGCAAGTATGGTGGATCACTCCAGCCTCAAGGTACCACAAGTCAGTTTGCATCTGGATCTCCATCCTATCCAAGTGAATCACACTCCTTGCCCCAAGGTTCCTCCAGTCAGTCTGCTGCAATCCAGAGTTCACAGAAGCAGTTTACCTCTAGATATGGCACCCAGTCAGGGTCCTCTAAGCCATTCACCCTGCAGGGAAGCACCACCGATGGTGGGTCACTCCAGCCTCAAGGTACCACAAGTCAGTTTGCCTCTGGGTCTTCAACCTCCTATCCAATTGTAACACTATCGTTGTCCTCGTCCCAAGGTGTTGCTGACCAGTCCGGCCAAGCAGTTCAAAGCTATTCTGGGTACCAAAGCCAAAAGTCTCAAAGATGGCAGCCTTCACGAGGTATTCATGCCTCGGGTGGAGCTGCATCATGGGGTAGCTCTCTGTCTCAAAGCTCTCCAATGCAGAGTTTCTTTTCTTCCCTGTCGTCAGCAGGAGGCTCATCTTCAGCATATCCTGGACCATTTGTTTCTGCACAGGGTGGTAGCAGCAGACATGGTGGCATTTCTCTTCATTCTCAAAGCCCCTCTAGGAAGTACACTCCTGGGTCTCATGCATATGCCATGCTTGGTTCCTCTCCCCTAGCTGTTTCTAGCCAGTCTACCAGTGATAAGTGGTCAAATGGCCTGTATAGGTCAGAGTCTCTGGGAACCCAGGGTCTCATTGGTGTAATTGAAAGACCCTCTAGGCTCTCGTCTCAAGCTCCTGACTCTACAAGCAGTAACCAAATATCTGAGCATTTTGGGACCATGAAACGCCCCACAGGTTCAAACCTAACTCCATCTCTAGGCTTGAGTGCCCTAGAATCATCTGTTGGCATGTTCTACAGTATCCCACAGACTGCACATGCACTACGTAACTCTGGGTCAGATGTCCAGCTAAACAATAAACCATTCCTCAATCAGCGATACTCTGTAAAGGGCTAAGGAACTCTATAAAACAGCTATGTTATGCAAAGTGTCTTCCAGAATAAAAAAAATCAAATGTGTAACAGTTTTTTTTTCTTGTGCTTTTGTTTATCCTACATTCAAAGGATAGAAATCCATGTTAGTTTAGTTTAACTAGGAAAAAGGGGTGCCATATAGGGTTTTGAGCACCAAATTGGTCAGTTTTTAGTCGGTTGCTGTTTAAATCGTGTTTTGTTGGCATTGACTGAAAAAAATTTACATTAAAAAAGAGAGAAATATCATCCATCAGTATATGGCATATCTTGGTGTTAAAATATTGGTCACTGGTACCTGCCTCAAAATCCTGATGTGTGCAATACTATTTTCTAGTCAAAGCTTTAATTTTCTCTTTTTTTTTTTTGAATGTGTACCTTAAATATTTTGCACTGGTGCCGGATCTATTCGTGTTTCATTGGTTTGTCCATTGATTCAAATAGAGAAATTAATACATGGTTGATCAAATTTAAAGATTATTGGGCAAGTGAAAAACCATTGCAAAAATGAACTACTGGCCAGAGATTCAAATTAACTTTACTGAACTTAACCTGAGGTTAAAAAATTAAGCTAAAAATGGCTTTTAAACTAAAAGATTTGTTATAAACTGAAGACTTTGTAGTAGTTGATGGGGCTACAGGGTTTAAGTGGGAGAACATAAAAAAAATTGGGCTTATTTTAGGTTAATTTTCTCATTCCTCTGTTGTATTTCATTTGTCCACTGATTTAGACTGTTATGAATAGCTTGTAAATGACGTTCCACATGCTACTAAAGAGTGGTGCAGTGATCATTAAAACCAAGAACCACATAAAAAAGAACCCATTTCTCATTTGGCTGTCTTCCCCTTTTGAGACCATTTCTGAGACATTTTAGTGGGCAAAAGTGTGGATAAAAAAAAAAAAACATGGCATTGTACTTAATAAGTTCAGTGTTTGAGATACTTTGCTGATAGAAACGGACAACATGTTCTCATGAGTATTCGTATGTATTTTACCTCACGTCCATTAACTTATTTCCATAGACAATGAAACCTACAATATTGTATTTCAGAGAATTGATCCTTTCATTTTGTTATTTAAAATAAGCAATCATTTGGTTTAGCCACTAATAACATGACCTCATATGTTAATGTATTTTATTCTGCGTAGTAAAGAACAATGACTTTCACCTGTGACACATTGATTGAGCAAATTGCCAGGTGCAGGTAGAGCCATTCTGATTTACATCTGCATAAAATTGGATGGTAGCACCATAATGTGTTATTGAAACAAGCTTAGCAATAATGGGGTTTTGGCAGGTTGGATTTGGATTGGTGTTTATTCTTGCACTTGGATTTTCTGAAGCACAATGGAGAGCAAGAGCAGCGCACAATCAGAGTCCAAGTGAGTTTAGGCCTAGAACATTAGCTCAAGCTTCTCAACAGTCTGAATCCTGGATGTCTTTGGTTCCCAGCAACAATGCATTTGCACCACAGAGCTTTCCCGCTCAGGTTCCTGTCCAGACACCAGTCAGCACTGACTTAAGAAAGTCTTCTCAAGACCTTATGGGTGTTCAATTAAAAGAGCTGTTGCAGGGTCCAGTGGCAAAACTGACGTGGAGCTTTCCAAGTCTACCAGAAGAACCACAGCAGCCAGACGTTCCTTTTGAGTTGCCTTATCCTGTCCCTGCCAACAGTGTAGCTGCTCAGTGTGGAGAGAATTCAGTATATGTGGAAGTGATGAAGGACTTCTTTGGGACTGGGCACCCACTGTTGTCCTCTGGTTTTACACTGGGAGGCTGTACTGCAACTGGAGAGGATTCTTCTGCTCAAGTGCTGATCTTTGAGTCTGAACTGCATGGATGTAGCGGCACCTCAATGGTAAGGTTCTGTTGTGACCATAATCATACAGTAGGTATTCTGAACTGTCCATGTGACTGTTCTTCTTTTATTCTTTCTGTTTAGGTGACTGAGGATGAGCTTGTCTATAGGTTCAACATTATGTACACCCCACAAGAGGCTTCATATGGTGTTCCTATTGTCAGGAGCAGCGGTGCGGTGGTTGCCATCGAGTGTCATTATCCAAGGTGAGGATTCAATTAATTCAGGCTCAACGGATGTTCTAATCCTGCCATTTATGGGCAAGAGATGACCACTTGTTTAACTCCTACAGAACACATAATGTGAGCAGTGACGCCTTAATGCCCACTTGGATCCCATATGCCTCAACTGAGTTTGCAGAGGATGTGTTCGTCTTCTCCCTCAAGCTCATGACTGGTTGGTATAGCCCATACAGATTTGTAGAATGTTTGTTTGTGATTCATCTGTTAAGATTATTATATATATTTTTTCAGATGACTGGAGATTTGAGAGACCTTCTAACCAGTACTTCCTGGGTGACATAATAAATCTTGAAGCATCAGTGCGTTTGTACAGCCATGTTCCCATCCGTGTGTTTGTGGACAGCTGTGTGGCTACTGCAGTCCCTGATGTTGCTTCTGTCCCCAGATACTCCTTTATTGAGAATAATGGGTGAGAGGTGCTACCTCATGTATCCCAGCTTCCAGAAGGGTTGTGTGATTTCTAACTGGGTTCTGTTCACAGGTGCCTGGTTGATGCCAAGCTCACAGGCTCCACGTCTCACTTTATGCCCCGGACTCAAGGTGATAAGCTAAGGTTTCAGCTAGAGGCGTTCAGGTTCCAGCAAGCGGACAGTGGGCTGGTAAGCATGTCATGTAGTTGTGCAACTCTTTTTATGATATGCTGCCATGGTGTACAAACAATTGTCTCTGCAGGTCTACATCACGTGCATTTTGAAGGTGGCTGCAGCAACATCTCCAAGTTCTGAACAGAAAGCTTGCTCATTCTCTGCTAATGGGTATGTCGCCTGCTAAATACGTGTACAGGTGAATTGGTTGTGTTAACTTATTTGAGGGTTTGTTTTGTCAGGTGGGTGTCTGCAGATGATTCTGACCAGGTTTGTGGCTGCTGTGACACAACGTGTAGCATTAGAAGTGGAAGTGATCAACTGCTTGCAGGTTTGGATTAACTCTGAGAAGTTGTTATTGGCATACATGACTTTAGTTCTCACTAATCATTTGTTCCTCAGATCTACGCTGGGAGAAGGCATCTGTCGGCCCCATCAATGTTAAAGAATATGGCTATGGCCAAAAATAACTGGAAATGTCATGGTGATTTTTAATAAATGTTGCTAATATATTTGGGTTTTTTGGTGTTTTTACTTGCACAGATACTACACTTTTGAACTTGTCAACATGGTTTCTGGTCAGTCATGTACCACAAAAATCCTAATTCTACTGGCCTTTATGGGAGGTACCTTTTGCTCAAGCCATTTGTGGGGCTAGGCCTATTACAACTCAAAATTGAGGTTTTTGTACCAGAGGAACCTTTTCCTAGAACTATTGGCGGAAGTACCTGGATTTTTGTTGTGTTTACACCGCAGGAACAAGGAATGATTTTAGTTCTAGGAGCTAATTTAGCTCCTATTTTAGAATAGGGTCTCAACCAGCACGAACCGTCTGTGATGCAAGTGTATGCTGATTGGCCGAACGCATGTGAACCACCAGCACTTGCCATTTATTACATGTAATGAGTGTGTAAACACTGATATGTTATAGCTATTTACTTAAACTCTACAAATTTTGTATGCATACTATATTACCCCAGTGACGCTTAAGACATTTATTGATACACACACAAAGTCCTATGTGTAGAAAATGTGGAATTAATTAGGAACATTGATGAATTTATTTTGGTGTTGTAAACCTTTTTTTCTTTTTGGGAGAAGATTCATAATGTAATCAAATAAATGTGTAACTCCTTTCTGAGCTCTGCTCTGTTATTTTTATTGAATTATATTGAGGATTCCCTTTACAAAAAAAAGGGTTTACAATGTTTTAATTTGAAAAAAAAAAAAAAAAACCCTGCATACTTACAGCATGGATTTCCCAGTCAGGACCCACACTGGGTCAATGCATGGGTCAGATAATAGTTTTGTTTTCCATTGAAGAAATTACAAGTCAACATTCAAGACTGCAAGAGTTCCAAATCACACGGGCCTTAGTATTAAATTAGGCCCTGTTTACACGAGAACGCTCGCTGGTGAAAACGTAAAAATATTTTATCGAATGTGCCTTTGCGTTTTTACTTTTGGGTAAAAACGCAAAAGTCTGCTTGACAGTGAAGGTTGTACGCAGGCGCGCGTGCTTTGTGTTTCAAACTGCTTTGAAATCACCTTCTTACTTGTACCCGATTTGCTTCAAACTTCATCAGAATAATGCCAAGACACGACAGAAGTAAACGTGTGAATGGGATTCTTGATACCTTGAATACTGTTGTTATGGCAATGCATAAAACTTTTATATTTTGTTTGGGTATTTCTGAGACTCTTAGCATGCTTCAAAATGCATGAAACTCGACACACACACACACACACACACACACACATACACATCAGAATTGTCAGCCAGTAGACATGGGCAAAGCCTTAAAAATAGCGTGTAGGAGCGGCTAAGTAGTATCATATTTAAACATAGGCCTAGATTTAAACAGGGTTGAAAAAAGCCTTGTTGCTGAGAATTTTTCAGACTTAATTATCAAAAATGTTGAATTTTTGGCTCAACTAACTGGTAAACAGTCTCAGAGTCCTCAGAGCATTTTGGCTGAGTTTTATCCCAGAGACTCCAAAAATTTGTCTTACTTCCTTCCTAAAATAAACCTTTATAAAGGTCAACCTGATGTGATCAGACACATTTTGTTTAAAGTGAATGACTATCCTATGCATACAATACACAGTTACACACTTTAAAATGTTTAAACACATTCATAAATCTATCACCAATTATCTTTTAACAGCCAGTTAGTTTCCCAGGTGAACAATGTTTCATGTAATTAGTTATTTGCCATAATTGGACTGATGAATGTCTATAAAATACACTTATCTCCATTTGCATATGTTTGCAATTGTAGTGTCTGTGTGGTGGATTGAGAAAGTGAATGTTGGGGCTTTGGAGTACTCTAGGTTTTTGTTTGCCATGGACAAAGGGTGGACACAGTGAGTTTATTCAATCAACCTCAGTTTGTGAATGATTTGGCAAATTTATTTACCTAATGTATTTACTTTTAGGTTACACTTGTTTGTAATCTTCCTGCTCTTTTTGAGTAATGCTCATGGATTTAAAGGTAATGTGTTTTTTTTTCTTGCAAAAGATTTTAAATTGTGAGAATTGTTTTTCTACAAATTTTCTATTTTGTCTAATTCACAGCTGGAGCTCATTCAGATGCCAACCACTGGTGGGGCCAACCTTCAGATAAATCTTTCTCACCTCGTGCAGTCCAGTCTTCTGTGTCAGAGGTCCCTGTGACTGGGATTTTGCCTGAAGAAGTGGGCTCTAGTTTATTCACTAACAGACCCCTGAAAAGGTTGAACTTGCTCCAATTTGTTAAAGGTGGTGTTTCCAGCAGGCATGAATCAATGTCCCATGCCCAGACCACTCCAAGCAGCTCTGTTTTAGCTTCCTTGCCTGTACCCTTAAATGAACTGCATGCAGGCCATTTGACATCACTCCAGGGTTCCTCTGGTTCAGCCGCTACAGATACTACTAGTGTGTCTACGCAAGGAGAAAGTAGCTTCCCTGCCACACTTGGCAATTCTGGCCTGTCCACCAGTGATCAAAGTTCCCCTAGTTTGTACGTGACCAGTTCCCTGGAAACCTCTGGTGCCTTGGGTCAATATAACCCGGGCTCCTATAACGAGCTCAGTTCTTCATCTGTTTCTAGTCCGTCTACCAGTGACCAGAGTACCCCCAGTTTGTATAGTTCTAGCTTTCAGGGAAATTCGGGCAGTTTTTTGGAAGCTTCTGGCTCTTTTCAAGGGGAAGTGGCAGGGCTTGGCTCTCATGTTGACTTGTTTCCCCAATCACAGGACCGCTCCAGTCAGCTTCTACCCTCACCCTTGGAGGTCTCTAGCCAGTCTACTAATGGTCAAAGCACTCCCAGCCTGTTTATGCTTGGCTCTGACAGCAGTTCAGGATCACAGTCAGCAGGTCCTGCTTCACCTCTAGACACTCAGGGTAGTCTCTCTCAAAGCATTTCTAGCCAGTCCACAAGTGTTCAGAGTTCACCTAGTGTGTCTACAAGCACCCAGAGCAGGTCTGCCACTCCATTAACTTCCAGTAACTTATTCCCTGTGCAGGGAGGTAGTAGTTCTACTTCTAGCTTATATCTGAAGCCTCAGGGCACTCTTGGTCGGTATGCCCCTGCGTCCCATACCAAATATGCGAGTATACCCATGTCGTCACACCTAGCTATTTATAGCCAGTCAAAAAGTACCTCTGGTCCTTGGTTTGAGGGCTCTACTGGCTTTGCCTCCCAGGGAATGAGTAGCACTTACAGTGGTTCTGTCCAGTCTCAAGGTACCACAAGTCAGTTTGCCTCTGGGTCTCCATCCTCCTATCCAATTGTAACACTATCCTCACCCCAAGGTTCCGCCAGTCAGTCCGCTACAGCCCAGAGTTCATGGAAGCAGTTTGCCTCTAGATATGGCACCCAGTCAGGGTCCTCTAAGCCAATCACCCTGCAGGGAAGCACTTACGGTGGATCACTCGAGCCTCAAGGTACCACAAGTCAGTTTGCATCTGGGTCTCAATCCTATCCAAGTGTATCACTATCCTCGCCCCAAGGGTCCTTCAGTCAGTCTGCTGCAGTCCAGGGTTCACGGAAGCAGTTTGCCTTTAGATATGGCACCCAGTTAGTGTCCTCTAAGCCAATCACCCTGCAGGGAAGCAAGTATGGTGGCTCACTCCAGCCTCAAGGTACCACAAGTCAGTTTGCATCTGGATCTCCATCCTATCCAAGTGAATCGCACTCCTCGCCCCAAGGTTCCTCCAGTCAGTCTGCTGCAATCCAGAGTTCACGGAAGCAGTTTGCCTCTAGATATGGCACCCAGTCAGGGTCCTCTAAGCCATTCACCCTGCAGGGAAGCACCACTGATGGTGGGTCACTCCAGCCTCAAGGTACCACAAGTCAGTTTGCCTCTGGGTCTCTATCCTATCCAAGTGCATCACTATCCTCGCCCCAAGGTTCCTCCAGTCAGTCTGCTGCAGTCCATAGTTCACAGAAGCAGTTTTCCTCTAGCTATGGCACCCAGTCAGGGTCCTCTAAGCCATTCACCCTGCAGGGAAGCACTTATGGTGGATCACTCCAGCCTCAAGGTACCACAAGTCCGTTTGCATCTGGGTCTCAATCCTATCCAAGTGCATCACTATCCTTGCCCCAAGGGTCCTCCAGTCAGTCTGCTGCAGTCCAGAGTTCACGGAAGCAGTTTGCCTCTAGCTATGGCACCCAGTTAGTGTCCTCCAAGCCAATCACCCTGCAGGGAAGCAAGTATGGTGGATCACTCCAGCCTCAAGGTACCACAAGTCAGTTTGCATCTGGATCTCCATCCTATCCAAGTCAATCACACTTCTCGCCCCAAGGTTCCTCCAGTCAGTCTGCTGCAATCCAGAGTTCACAGAAGCAGTTTGCCTCTAGATATGGCACCCAGTTAGTGTCCTCCAAGCCAATCACCCTGCAGGGAAGCACCACTGATGGTGGGTCACTCCAGCCTCAAGGTACCACAAGTCAGTTTGCCTCTGGGTCTCTATCCTATCCAAGTGCATCACTATCCTCGCCCCAAGGTTCCTCCAGTCAGTCTGCTGCAGTCCAGAGTTCACAGAAGCAGTTTGCCTCTAGATATGGCACCCAGTTAGTGTCCTCTAAGCCAATCACCCTGCAGGGAAGCACTTATGGTGGATCACTCCAGCCTCAAGGTACCACAAGTCCGTTTGCATCTGGGTCTCAATCCTATCCAAGTGCATCACTATCCTTGCCCCAAGGGTCCTCCAGTCAGTCTGCTGCAGTCCAGAGTTCACGGAAGCAGTTTGCCTCTAGCTATGGCACCCAGTTAGTGTCCTCCAAGCCAATCACCCTGCGGGGAAGCAAGTATGGTGGATCACTCCAGCCTCAAGGTACCACAAGTCAGTTTGCATCTGGATCCCCATCCTATCCAAGTCAATCACACTTCTCGCCCCAAGGTTCCTCCAGTCAGTCTGCTGCAATCCAGAGTTCACAGAAGCAGTTTGCCTCTAGATATGGCACCCAGTTAGTGTCCTCCAAGCCAATCACCCTGCAGGGAAGCACTTACGGTGGATCACTCCAGCCTCAAGGTACCACAAGTCAGTTTGCATCTGGGTCTCAATCCTATCCAAGTGTATCACTATCCTCGCCCCAGGGTTCCTCCAGCCAGTCTGCTGCAGTCCAGGGTTCACGGAAGCAGTTTGCCTTTAGATATGGCACCCAGTTAGTGTCCTCTAAGCCAATCACCCTGCAGGGAAGCACTTCTGGTGGATCATTCCAGCCTCAAGGTACCACAAGTCAGTTTGCATCTGGGTCTCAATCCTATCCAAGTGAATCACTATCCTCGCCCCAAGGTTCCGCCAGTCAGTCTGCTGCAGTCCAGAGTTCACAGAAGCAGTTTGCCTCTAGATATGGCACCCAGTTAGTGTCCTCCAAGCCAATCACCCTGCAGGGAAGCAAGTATGGTGGATCACTCCAGCCTCAAGGTACCACAAGTCAGTTTGCATCTGGATCTCCATCCTATCCAAGTGAATCACACTCCTTGCCCCAAGGTTCCTCCAGTCAGTCTGCTGCAATCCAGAGTTCACAGAAGCAGTTTACCTCTAGATATGGCACCCACTCAGGGTCCTCTAAGCCATTCACCCTGCAGGGAAGCACCACCGATGGTGGGTCACTCCAGCCTCAAGGTACCACAAGTCAGTTTGCCTCTGGGTCTTCAACCTCCTATCCAATTGTAACACTATCGTTGTCCTCGTCCCAAGGTGTTGCTGACCAGTCCGGCCAAGCAGTTCAAAGCTATTCTGGGTACCAAAGCCAAAAGTCTCAAAGATGGCAGCCTTCACAAGGTATTCATGCCTCGGGTGGAGCTGCATCATGGGGTAGCTCTCTGTCTCAAAGCTCTCCAATGCAGAGTTTCTTTTCTTCCCTGTCGTCAGCAGGAGGCTCATCTTCAGCATATCCTGGACCATTTGTTTCTGCACAGGGTGGTAGCAGCAGACATGGTGGCATTTCTCTTCATTCTCAAAGCCCCTCTAGGAAGTACACTCCTGGGTCTCATGCATATGCCATGCTTGGTTCCTCTCCCCTAGCTGTTTCTAGCCAGTCTACCAGTGATAAGTGGTCAAATGGCCTGTATAGGTCAGACTCTCTGGGAACCCAGGGTCTCATTGGTGTAATTGAAAGACCCTCTAGGCTCTCGTCTCAAGCTCCTAACTCTACAAGCAGTAACCAAATATCTGAGCATTTTGGGACCATGAAACGCCCCACAGGTTCAAACCTAACTCCATCTCTAGGCTTGAGTGCCCTAGAATCATCTGTTGGCATGTTCTACAGTATCCCACAGACTGCACATGCACTACGTAACTCTGGGTCAGATGTCCAGCTAAACAATAAACCATTCCTCAATCAGCGATACTCTGTAAAGGGCTAAGGAACTCTATAAAACAGCTATGTTATGCAAAGTGTCTTCCAGAATAAAAAAAATCAAATGTTTAACAGTTTTTTTTTTTCTTGTGTTTTTGTTTATCCTACATTCAAAGGATAGAAATCCATGTTAGTTTAGTTTAACTAGGAAAAAGGGGTGCCATATAGGGTTTTGAGCACCAAATTGGTCAGTTTTTAGTCGGTTGCTGTTTAAATCGTGTTTTGTTGGCATTGACTGAAAAAAATTTACATTAAAAAAGAGAAATATCATCCATCAGTATATGGCATATCTTGGTGTTAAAATATTGGTCACTGGTACCTGCCTCAAAATCCTGATGTGTGCAATACTATTTTCTAGTCAAAGCTTTAATTTTCTTTTTCTTTTTTTTTTTTGAATGTGTACCTTAAATATTTTGCACTGGTGCCGGATCTATTCGTGTTTCATTGGTTTGTCCATTGATTCAAATAGAGAAATTAATACATGGTTGATCAAATTTAAAGATTATTGGGCAAGTGAAAAACCATTGCAAAAATGAACTACTGGCCAGAGATTCAAATTAACTTTACTGAACTTAACCTGAGGTTAAAAAATTAAGCTAAAAATGGCTTTTAAACTAAAAGATTTGTTATAAACTGAAGACTTTGTAGTAGTTGATGGGGCTACAGGGTTTAAGTGGGAGAACATAAAAAAAATTGGGCTTATTTTAGGTTAATTTTCTCATTCCTCTGTTGTATTTCATTTGTCCACTGATTTAGACTGTTATGAATAGCTTGTAAATGACGTTCCACATGCTACTAAAGAGTGGTGCAGTGATCATTAAAACCAAGAACCACATAAAAAAGAACCCATTTCTCATTTGGCTGTCTTCCCCTTTTGAGACCATTTCTGAGACATTTTAGTGGGCAAAAGTGTGGATAAAAAAAAAAAAAAAAACATGGCATTGTACTTAATAAGTTCAGTGTTTGAGATACTTTGCTGATAGAAACTGACAACATGTTCTCATGAGTATTCGTATGTATTTTACCTCACGTCCATTAACTTATTTCCATAGACAATGAAACCTACAATATTGTATTTCAGAGAATTGATCCTTTCATTTTGTTATTTAAAATAAGCAATCATTTGGTTTAGCCACTAATAACATGACCTCATATGTTAATGTATTTTATTCTGCGTAGTAAAGAACAATGACTTTCACCTGTGACACATTGATTGAGCAAATTGCCAGGTGCAGGTGGAGCCATTCTGATTTACATCTGCATAAAATTGGATGGTAGCACCATAATGTGTTATTGAAACAAGCTTAGCAATAATGGGGTTTTGGCAGGTTGGATTTGGATTGGTGTTTATTCTTGCACTTGGATTTTCTGAAGCACAATGGAGAGCAAGAGCAGCGCACAATCAGAGTCCAAGTGAGTTTAGGCCTAGAACATTAGCTCAAGCTTCTCAACAGTCTGAATCCTGGATGTCTTTGGTTCCCAGCAACAATACATTTGCACCACAGAGCTTTCCCGCTCAGGTTCCTGTCCAGACACCAGTCAGCACTGACTTAAGAAAGTCTTCTCAAGACCTTATGGGTGTTCAATTAAAAGAGCTGTTGCAGGGTCCAGTGGCAAAACTGACGTGGAGCTTTCCAAGTCTACCAGAAGAACCACAGCAGCCAGACGTTCCTTTTGAGTTGCCTTATCCTGTCCCTGCCAACAGTGTAGCTGCTCAGTGTGGAGAGAATTCAGTATATGTGGAAGTGATGAAGGACTTCTTTGGGACTGGGCACCCACTGTTGTCCTCTGGTTTTACACTGGGAGGCTGTACTGCAACTGGAGAGGATTCTTCTGCTCAAGTGCTGATCTTTGAGTCTGAACTGCATGGATGTAGCGGCACCTCAATGGTAAGGTTCTGTTGTGACCATAATCATACAGTAGGTATTCTGAACTGTCCATGTGACTGTTCTTCTTTTATTCTTTCTGTTTAGGTGACTGAGGATGAGCTTGTCTATAGGTTCAACATTATGTACACCCCACAAGAGGCTTCATATGGTGTTCCTATTGTCAGGAGCAGTGGTGCGGTGGTTGCCATCGAGTGTCATTATCCAAGGTGAGGATTCAATTAATTCAGGCTCAACGGATGTTCTAATCCTGCCATTTATGGGCAAGAGATGACCACTTGTTTAACTCCTACAGAACACATAATGTGAGCAGTGACGCCTTAATGCCCACTTGGATCCCATATGCCTCAACTGAGTTTGCAGAGGATGTGTTCGTCTTCTCCCTCAAGCTCATGACTGGTTGGTATAGCCCATACAGATTTGTAGAATGTTTGTTTCTGATTCATCTGTTAAGATTATATATATTTTTTCAGATGACTGGAGATTTGAGAGACCTTCTAACCAGTACTTCCTGGGTGACATAATAAATCTTGAAGCATCAGTGCGTTTGTACAGCCATGTTCCCATCCGTGTGTTTGTGGACAGCTGTGTGGCTACTGCAGTCCCTGATGTTGCTTCTGTCCCCAGATACTCCTTTATTGAGAATAATGGGTGAGAGGTGCTACCTCATGTATCCCAGCTTCCAGAAGGGTTGTGTGATTTCTAACTGGGTTCTGTTCACAGGTGCCTGGTTGATGCCAAGCTCACAGGCTCCACGTCTCACTTTATGCCCCGGACTCAAGGTGATAAGCTAAGGTTTCAGCTAGAGGCGTTCAGGTTCCAGCAAGCGGACAGTGGGCTGGTAAGCATGTCGTGTAGTTGTGCAACTCTTTTTATGATATGCTGCCATGGTGTACAAACAATTGTCTCTGCAGGTCTACATCACGTGCATTTTGAAGGTGGCTGCAGCAACATCTCCAAGTTCTGAACAGAAAGCTTGTTCATTCTCTGCTAATGGGTATGTCGCCTGCTAAATACGTGTACAGGTGAATTGGTTGTGTTCACTTATTTGAGGGTTTGTTTTGTCAGGTGGGTGTCTGCAGATGATTCTGACCAGGTTTGTGGCTGCTGTGACACAACGTGTAGCGTCAGAAGTGGAAGTGATCAACTGCTTGCAGGTTTGGATTAACTCTGAGAAGTTGTTATTGGCATACATGACTTTAGTTCTCACTAATCATTTGTTCCTCAGATCTACGCTGGGAGAAGGCATCTGTCGGCCCCATCAATGTTAAAGAATATGGCTATGGCCAAAAATAACTGGAAATGTCATGTGTCAAATGTCATGGTGATTTTTAATAAATGTTGCTAATATATTTGGTGTTTTTACTTGCACAGATACTACACTTTTGAACTTGTCAACATGGTTTCTGGTCAGTCATGTACCACAAAAATCCTAATTCTACTAGCCTATATGGGAGGTACCTTTTGCTCAAGCCATTTGTGGGGCTAGGCCTATTACAACACAAAATTGAGGCTTTTGTACCAGAGGAACCCTTTCCTAGAACTATTGGCGGAAGTACCTGGATTTTTGCTGTGTTTACACCGCAGGAACAAGGAACGATTTTAGTTCTAGGAGCTAATTTAGCTCCAGCACGAACCGTCTGTGATGCAAGTGTATGCTGATTGGCCGAACGCATGTGAACCACCAGCACTTGCCCTATTTATTAGATGATTAGATTCCCCATCATTTATTAGATGTAATGACTGTAAAAACTCATATTATAGTTATTACTTAAACTCTACAAATTCTGTATGAATACTATAACTCCAGTGAAGCTTAAGACATTTAAAGATCACATCCTATGTGTAGAAAATGTGGAATTAATTAGGAATATTCATGCATTTATTTTGGTATTGTAAAGCTATTTTTCTTTTTGGGAGAAAATTTGTAAAGAAATTTAAGAAATGTGCAACTACTTTTGTGCTATGCTCTTTTATATTTATTGAAGTTTACACTGTTTTATTTTGGGGGGAAAAACTGCAGACATCCTAGTCAGGACCTACACTGGGTCAATGGCTGGATCAGATTTGTTGCCCACTGAAGAAATTGCAAATCAACATTCAAGACTGCAAGAGTTCCAAATCACATGGGCCTTAGTATTAAAGGGATAGTTCACTTTGAAATTAATTTTTTATGTTTTAGCTTACCTCAAGGGCATCCAAGATGTAGGTGTCTTTGTTTCCTCATTATTTTCAATTTTGACAAAAATTTTCTGTCAAGCCGGTGTTGTCAGTCAGTCATATAATGCAGGTTTAGGGGGTCCACCTCAAAGAGCATGCACAGAGAAGTCCAAATTAAACTTGATTTAATGACTTGTGAATGCAAGTACACACTGATGGCCTAAGACATGAAACGGGTGGTTTGTGTGAGAAAACGAACAGTATTTATATCGTTTTTACCTCTTGTTAACACCCATGTCAAACTGATCTGAATCAGATGTCCAACTGAACCGAACTGAACTGTGTCCAACTTACACCGAAAGTGATCTCTCGTGCGTCTACATCACGCAATGTTTGGCTACTAAAGTTATTTTTGTAGATATCATTCTTTGTGTGAACAGGCCTTTATTGTTTACATTAGGCAGTACACATCAGGATGACTGATAAAAATGAAAGATAGAGAAAGGTATAGAGATATGTTCAGAAAGCATACTACCATAACAAGCAAATTATCTTAGACTATCTCAAACTATCTAGCCTGGTTAAAACCAGACCATTCTCAGTTGTAACTGAGTTATGGTCTGGCAGAGCATCATAGACATATCATTTGCAGAGGGGCGTCACCAACGGACGTCGCGGGTAGACCTAAAACCAATCAGAGCGATGAAGGAGATGACGTATGCAGAACGGCGGCCGGCAGAGAAACATCTCATGTTCTTTGCTTAGTTTTTAACAAAAAGGAAACGTTCAAATCGCTTAAAAAAGACGTGATAGCTGATTCGAGCGAGTGATGTTCGATGACGGCATCCATCTTTATAATGTAGGCTACAAAATCTGCTTTAAAATCCCAGCGCTGTCGTCATCGTGTAAACGTTTCTGATTGGTGCCGCGATTCCGACGGATTGAAAATGGGCTTGAATGAGGTCTTTGCCAGACTAACTTTCAGAGCAAATCTAAATTTGCCGGAAGTTGTCTGGGTTTTCCCAGACTACAAACTATCTGCAACCAACGCATTCTCATCCTAGGGCGTCATATAGTGACACTTTTGAAATTTTGCCTAAATCCAACACACATGGTACACTTTAGCGTCAATATAACACGCACAGAGCTTTGTTCGGTTATAGTATGTTTAGTCCTGGGGTAGGTTTAGGATTAGACCACTAGGAGGCGCCTTCTGGCCCCTATATATCTGCGTCTCATATTGACGCTAAAGGGTGCCATGTGTGTTTGATCTAGACGAAATGTCAAAAGCGTCAGTATTTGACGCCTTGGGATTGAATTCTCATGTTTTGATTTGACGGTTTGTTTTGAACTACAGCAGTAAATACATTTTTACACAAAATTTAATTAAAAATGCAATAACAGCTGTTTATTTCTGTGAGGATTACGGAACGTAAATTGCTAAATTAAAGATACAAAGTTTATGGTTGTTCTGTTTGACAAACTATCCGTCCGAAATCACATAGCTACTCTCGAGTAGATACTAGTTTTGAATAAGTAATTACTTCACGACTGCTAAAAAAAAGTAGGCTATTCTATCCACCTTATTCCTACACCCCATGACCCAGTAACCAGGGCCGTACTGCGACTGAAATTCAGCCCGGGACTTTAAGATGGAGAGGCCTTTTACGCGAGTACCCTTGATGCACGAGCAGAAGGATTTTTTGCAGTTATTTTAATTCTTATAGTGTTTTTATGGTATAAAGAGAATCAGATGCTGAAAACCTTCAAGAAACTTTAGGATGACACCTGCCTCCTCTGGTTGTATAAGCAAGTCAACACTGCACTGAACACAACCAGGTCAGCAAAACCTAATCTCGAACACATAAGTCACAGTGCTAACTATCAGCATGTCATGTGCACAGTCAGTTGGAGTGATAAAATAGTTACAAATAATCATATACTCAAAAACTACAATGCAGTCCCATAAAATAGAGATTTGTGTGTGTGTGTGTGTGTGTGTGTGTCCTTACTTTCTCAGCTTGGCTCCCTGGCTTAGCTTCCCCTGTGATGGACCCTGCCTCTGCTTACTGATGTGCAGCTACATATGCATGAGAAGAACTTCAGTTATAAATATGATTAAGAATAAAACATTTTCTAATTCAATCTGTGCTTCAGTCAGGTTATTATCTAGTATGTGGAATTATTGGCATTTTAACCTATATGTAAATATCTGATTGATTTATTTTCCTAATATGATTGCCTACCCAGCCCTGCACACTGCCCCTCTACCTGTCACTGTTTTTATACTGGTTCCATTCTTCTCCTCCTGCTCTTCTTTCTCTTGCTGCTCTCCTTCCTCCTGCTCCTCCTCCTTCTCTCCCTCATCATCAATATGACTGCAGGGGTCATCCTCAACCTGTCCCTCTCCATCACTGACCTTAACAGCTAATATACATACAGAGATTACTTGCTTAGAAGGATGTTGTCTGTGTGTGATGACACACTGCAAACTGCTCTTTATAATATATAATATATCTCTAAACCTGTGAGGGATACATGGCAATAACATGATAACAGCACATTTTTATTACATGGCTAAGAAATCAATAATTTGACACAATTATACATACAGCTAATATACATAGAGATTACTTGCTTATAGAAGGATGCTGTTGTCTGTGTGATGACACACTGCAAACTGCTGTTTAACTTTATATATATATATATATATATATATATATATATATATATATATATATATATATATATATAAAATGTAAGGGACACATGGCTATAACATGATAACAGCACATTTTTATTTCATGGCTATCTACCAAATAAATCAATAATTTGACACACAATATTGATTTAAAAATGAGTTTACTGTTTTAAAAACTATTGTATTGCTTCCGCTAAAGAAAATAGTTCTGTCTATACGGTTAGAATCCTGCGTGTCCATGGCAACGCGCGGCCTGTTATCAAGCAATAACAGACCGCATTCGTGGCACGAAACTAATCGTTTTTATAGCAAATACAACCGCCTCGCTCTACATTATTCCTTATATAATATATTATGCCTATATTTAAATGCAAATATAAATAATTTCAGTGTATAAACGCATCACTAATTGTGCACCTGTCCTGCTGCTGGGTCCTCCTTCCTCATCTGTAACGTTACCTTCTGCCACAGCACCCTTTTCCCGGAAAAGGTCTGTTAATTTGGCGCATTTATTAGCTGCCTCTCGTGCCAACGTTTTTTTCTTTTTCATTCTTATTTTTGTCGGCCCCACCCATTTCTTTCTCTTCTTTCCTTCCTTCTTTTCAGCATTTTTAAATGTCCGTCTCTGTTGCAACTTGCATTCATACAAATCTCCAAACTCCTTTTTTCGGCGCCTTAAGTTTGAGCCAATCGGATGTCAGGAAAAACGAGGATCAGTCCAAGTTAGGAGGGGCCGCTCGTATCCCCCCTCAAGATTGAAGGTATTGGTTTGGCCTAGTCTGAAACACACACACACACACACACACAGTTCCGCTGCAGCTGAGCGGCCGCCGCGCCGGTCGTTAATCATAAAACGTATCATCCAAGAAAAATATTATATATCATTGACCACCGGCCGGTTCGGCCCGAAATGGACCGACCGTTCGGGATTGTTCCCGGTATTCCCGATTGCCAATCCGCCCCTGCCAGTAACGCTTTTAACAAATTATCGGTGTAACTTCGATTAAGCTGTAAACAATCAGTGAAAATGCTGGCTCTATGAATGCAATATGTTAAAAAAGTATCACAATGAGATGACATTAATCTATACCCTTCAACCATCGAACGTTAAAAGGAAATTTAAAAGTGTAAAGCATCAACAAGTTACTTTCAACAGATCAAATAACCTTAAAAGTGCGAGTCTTTGGTTAAATATCACTGTAGTAGCCTACCTGTATTCGTTGCCTTAATCAAAAATGTTCATTAAATTCAGCATTACGCAAGACTTTTTAAAAAGTGATTTCGACGTATACCGCACCTGGGCCGACACCATGTTGCTGTCCGGGTATGATCTGGATGCACTACATTCACCATGTTGTCATTATCATGTGACCTATCAGTATCAGTTGCATCGCTTCATTCATTATCCTCTCCGTGGCCTCATGGGAAAGTTAAGAGTCCATTATGCAAATGTATTATCTGGGTACTTATGTGCCTAGTCTTATGAGGACTGTGAATTCGGACATCTTTTGTCACATACTATTTTTTCACTTACTACATAGTAGGGAAGTGTGTGATTTCGGACGCAGCCAAATATCTATCGTGCATTTGCACATTTAAAGCAGCTCTATGCAGTTTTATTTATTTTTTTACCTTAACTGAATAGCGTCAGAGTTATTGCAATGGCTATATGACTATTTTCGGGTTGAATTTTGTGCGTCTCGCCACAATTGCGACTTTGAGCATCAGGAAGTGTCGCGTAACATCAGGTCTCGGGTTGTAATGAATTGCTTTACGGCAAGAAAGATCTGATAAAATAAACATCAAACAGAAATAAACCGGCGTCGTATACATGCGGTGTTCGAGGAACATACAATACTGCCGACAGTTCAACAGGGCACAGCTCTAAAGGGGCCACACCTTATTTTCACTCGTTACAGCTTCCATCAACTCAACAAGTACCGGTATACAGGGGGCGGGGATCAGGCATAGACAGTATAAGAAGTGGACAGAGCCATCTCATTGGAACTCAATTGAGACAAATGTGAAGCCCATTTTTAGCGATTTTTTTAGGACTTCCGTTCCTGATGCACAGACTCAAACTGACTCAAACAGAGCTCGACGACGTAGATGTGACGTGAGCTTGCCTGCGAGCTTCTCCTCCTGTCCATACGGTAATCTCCCCAGACAGCAAACTGACATTGAATCAACGTGGAAACGACGTCTCTCATGACATCGAAACAACATGTTGTTTCGATGTCATGAGAGACGTCGTTTCCACTTGAATTAACGTTGAACCAACGTCAGACGCGGCATTCTTCAAAGCTAAATAAAAATTGAAAATTGGTTTGCTTTCATAACGTTGAAACAACGTTGATTAGATTTCAAGTTGATTTTCCGCTAGTTTTGAAAGAATGACTCGTCTGACGTTGGTTCAACGTTAATTCGATGAGCAAAATAATGTCAGATCAACATTGTTTCGATGTCATGTTTCCACGTTGATTCAATGTCAGTTTGCTATCTGGGTCTCTACTGTGCGACAGAGAGTCGTGTGGTTATGATGCAATCGTTAGCCTACTTTTACAAAAAACTGCTTCTACAGGGCCATAACATAAACTACAACGTAATGGAGCATTTTATACATTGTCGTGTTTCTTTAGAAATAAATAATGGACAAATGGAGTCTTCAAACGCCTCAGACGTAAAGTTATTCGCTGTCAAAGTGACGCCAAAATGAATGGGAGTCAATGGAAATGCTAACTCAAGTGAAGTTCTGCTACAAGATGGCGGCACCCGGCCAGCTTCAACTTCTGGTCGATGGATTACTCCCTTGGGATCAGGCTGTGAGTGCAGAGAGTGAGACATCTCTGCATGAATGCTATTTACAACAGTACAAGTACTCCACACACAGTGACTCTATAGGGGTCACAGTTTGACATCTTTTGGAATCTTGCAAAGTGTTGCTTTAATGTTCGCTGCGCCTTTAAGCATAAGCTCTGAGAGTCACGTGGTTTCATCCTGCAGCTTCCTGTATTGAGTTCATAACGGAGAGCTCGGACGCCGCTGATTAAAAAGAATCCGTACGTACGAGCATCTTTTGATCATTTCAGTAAGTTAATCAGTTATCAATTTATTATTATTCATACTGCCTGGTCAGACCATTTTATACTATTTTTATCTGATCTAAAATAGCGTTTGCTGAAGAATTGATTGTGAGTAACGTTACTGTCTACTGGACACAATGAGTGCTAGTCTCGCTTTGATACTGTACGTTATCATACGTCAGCACTTTAGAGTGTTTGATGCTTTTGTAGCTGCTTGTGGGTTTTCAAACGGATGCTGATCACAGGACAGTGAGATTAGATTGCGTTTTGACTGGCAAATACCAGAATGCTCACAGTCATGATGACTGCTCTTTTGTTCTGTGTTTTCATTTAACGTTACCCTGTGCACTGCAAGACTGCAAACAAACACAAATGCTCTTGAAATAGCCTCAGTGTGTGCTGGATGAATTGATGCTCACTGTGTGTGTTTTTGTGTCGTCAGAAACAATCACCTGACTGGATGCTGAACTATTGTCATCTGCTGTAGGGACACTGACAGTTGAAGCTCGTGCTCAGGAGGTTTTGAGGCAAGAGGTTTTCTTCATCACTTATCTCTCTCGTTCTGTATGTGTGTGTTTACATTATCATATTTTATTTTTTGCTCACAGAACATTTTTACATAATGAAAAGGATGAATGAGCTTCCTAACTTGTGTTGTATTGTGTTAAACTGTAATTTGCCTATATTTTGGGGTAGCAGTGTTAAAGGAGTAGTTCACTTAAAAAAAAAAAAAAAGAAAACTTTTGCTGATAATTTACTCACCCCCATGTCATCCAAGATGTCCATGTCTTTCTTTCTTTAGTTGAAAAGAAATTAAGGTTTTTGATGAAAACATTCCAGGATTTTCTCTATATAATGGACTCTATTGGGAACCAAACGGTTGAAGGTACAAATGAGAGTTTCAGTGCAGCTTCAACGGGCTTTAAACAACACGGCGATGAATAAGGGTCTTATCAAGCGAAACGATCAGTCATTTAAAAAATAAATAAAAAAGTTTAAGTTTTAAAAGCACAAATGGTCGCCTTGCTCTGTTCTGTGATGCGCGTTCGTGACTCTCCTGTTCGAACTCATTCATCAAAATGAATAAGTCTTTTTTCGAGTCATGATTCGAAGGGTCCTAGATAAGACCCTTATTCATCGCCTGGTGTCGTTTAAAGCCCTTTGAAGCTGCACTGAAACTCTCATTTGGACCTTGAAGCGTATAATTAGCTATTATAATTATTATATTTTCACTTTTCATGTTAATTTCAGTTCAAAGTTCATATTAATTTCAGTTTAAGTAATTTTGCTTAAATATTTATCTTTGGCTTTATTTTGTATGTATTATTAGTAATTGTAATGCTTTATGGATGGATGGATAAAACAATGAGTTTAAATATTTGTTTGGAATCAGCGTGTTGGTGTGTAGATTTAAGTTTTTGGTGAAAGAAATAGTCTATCAAATTGATTATTTGGACACCAGGAGATGATCTAAAACAGGAATATAAGGTGTGTGTGTGTTTAAGAAGGAAACGCTCAGTCATGTTCATGTGTTTGAGCAGTCAGGACAGATTGAACAGAAGACAGAGGAATGTCTGCTATGAAGACTGAAGAGGATGCTAACGGGACGAGCACAGCTAACGGAGGAGGACGAGGAGGAGTGTGTGAGGAGGGCAGCGTCACGGTCCTCAGGTACATTTCATGTGGTCGCTTTCTTCCTGTAACAACATGCTTGAATTATGCTATTATTGTTTACTAAAACTATTAAAAATGATTGTGTTAATGAAATAAAGCTGAATAATGTTAGATGACAAACTTAATAAAATAGATATAAGTTTAAGCTGAAGTACTAAAATTATTCAAATTAAAACTGAAGAAAATAAACGAAAGTCAAATAGAGAGATGTAAATGCTAATTTTGTCTTTTTTTATTAGTTTTTACATCTCTCTATTTGACTTTCTATAGTTCTTATGATGTTTTTCAGTTTTAGTTATTAGAGTATTTCAAGTCAAATTTTTTTCATTTTCTTTTAGTTAGACTTGAAATAAAAAGAACTATAGACATACTAAATAAACAAGCTAATAGAGATGACAGAAATGATCTAACATTAAAATAGAAAATAAAATACATTTTTTATAAATCTAAATATTAAGAAACATTACAAAAGTAATGTTAATAATATTATAACAGTATTGAAAAAATAATAAGAATGACAGAAATTAACTAAAATGAAAAAAGAATATATATAAATACACATAAAAGTGTATCAGTTATACTAAAATAACACTGTTTGAGTGTGTCATAGTTTCATGAACACACCCGTAATGTCACCTCCTCAACCCTACAGTCCCACTGACCTATCAGAGATGCTGGCAGCAGGAACCAAAGAAGTTCACGAGAAGGCCGAAAACACAGAGTTTGTCAAAGACTTCCTGAAGGGACGGATCCGCAAGGAGCTCTTCAAGGTAAACGGATCAATCCGTTGGGATGTCATAAGTCATAATGGGGCATAATATTTCTGATTGAATCATGAGCTGCTGTGATTTGATCGTTTTATCACGTTAAACTTTGGATTGGATGACATGCATGATATTTTTGTGGCAGATGATTAAAAGGAAAAGAAATCCCATACACTTAAAATGAAGGTATTGTTAGCTAAAGCTAAAAAATAAAATTGTAACAATAAAGGATCCCATTAGTAATTTTATTGAATGCATTAATTAACATTAACCAACAATGAACGATACATTTTATTGAACGACACACAGTTTATTGTCAACTGAGGTAATTAAATAAAATATGAACACATTTTGATATTAATAATGTGTTCGCAAATGTGTAATAAATGCTTTAGAAGTAATCTTCATTGTTAGTTCATGCTGTAGTCAACTAATGTTTACAAATGACTCCCTTATTGTAAAATGTTCCCAATAAAGAGTTACTTATTTTCAAAATTAAACTTATTGTAACTCTTTTCCTGCCAGTGTTTTTAAAATAAAAATAAAAAGTTGCCAGCCAGCATTTTTTAATTATTTTTACTAAACTTTCTTGGATTATTTTCTCACAACTTTCATGGCTCTCAGAATATTTTGTTGTATGAATATCTGAACATGCCATATATCAAAAGCAAGAACAGACCCTCTGCTTTTTAACAAACACCTTTTTTTCAACACTTTAATGTGGTTAGAAGACCAGTTTAATGCATGTGTGTGTATTTATATATTCAAAATAATTATACACAGTACACACACTTTTATTTTGGATTCATTTAATCACGATTAAAGGATTAGTTCACTTTTAAAAAAACTTTTGCTGATAATTTACTCACCCCCATGTCATCCAAGATGTCCATGTCTTTCTTTCTTCAGTCGAAAAGAAATTAAGGTTTTTGATGAAAACATTGCAGGATTTTTCTCCATATAATGGACTTCATTGGGAACCAAAAGATTCAAGGTCCAAAAGACACTTTCAGTGCAAACTGTTCAAAGGGCTTTAAACGATTTCAGACGATGATCATTAAGGGTCTTATCAAGCGAAACGATCACTCATTTAAAAGAAAAATTTTTTAAGTTTTATAAGTTTAAATGGTCGCCTTGCTCTGTTCTGGGATGAGCGTTTGTGACTCTCCTGTTCGAACTCGTTCAGCAAAATGAACAAATCTTTTCCTGAGTCAACTCGTTCATTTCGTTCATAGAATGAACCAAATGACATGAATAAAGATTTGTTCATTTTGATGAATGAGTTCGAACAGGAGAGTCACGAACGCTCATCACAGAACAGAGCAAGGCGACCATTTGAGCTTATAAAACTTAAACTTTGTTATTTATTTATTAAATGAGCGATCGTTTCGCTTGATAAACCCTTATTCATCGTCTGGTGTCGTTTAAAGCCCTTTGAAAAGTTTGCAGTGAAACTGTCTTTTGGACCTTGAACCGTTTGGTTCCCATTGAAATGGATTATATGGACAAAAATCCTGGAATGTTTTCATCAAACCTTAATTTCTTTTTGACTGAAGAAATAATGATATGGATATCTTGGATGACATGGGGGTGAGTAAATTATCAGCAAACGTTTTTTTTTTTTTTTTTTTAAAGTGAACTACTCCTTTAAGTGTTGCACAGCCCTAGTTTTTATTCATCTTGAAAATAAAATTAAAATGAATAAGAACTGAATAGACATGAAAAATATAGGCAACAAAATAAAAATGAAAAGGGAAAATAAAAAAAATACAATAGCATCTCATTGGTACTAAAACACCTCTGTACACAGCAAGATAAATGCGTTGAGTTCTCCTTGATCATGATTTCTGGATGTGTGTTTTCAGCTCGGCCACGTGGCTTTATTCTTCACGTACTCCGCCATGGAAGAGGAGATCGAGAGGAATAAAGAGCACCCTCATTTCGCCCCGCTCTACTTCCCCCACGAGCTCCACCGGCGGGACGCTCTGGCTCGGGATCTGGAGTTCTTCTACGGCGAGGACTGGCAGAGTCGGATCCGCATCTCTCCCGCGACTCAGCGGTACGTGGACCGCATCCGGCAGGTCGGCCGGGACCAGCCCGCGCTCCTCGTGGCCCACGCCTACACGCGCTACATGGGGGACCTCTCGGGGGGGCAGGTGCTGAGGAAGGTGGCCCAGCGCGCGCTGAAGCTGCCGCCCACAGGAGAAGGCCTGAGCTTCTACGAGTTCGACGGCATCCACAGCGCCAAGGCCTTCAAGCAGCTGTACCGCAGCCGGATGAACGAGCTGGAGCTCGACACACACACCAAGAGCAGGGTCGTGGAGGAAGCCAACCTCGCCTTTCAGTTCAACATGGAGGTGAGCAGTGCAGCTGGGCTCTCCTTGCAATTTAAAGGGGTCATATTTTCTTGTTATTATTATTTGTTGTACCAACTGTAATCATTTTTTGTAAAGAAGGAGTTCACTTAAGACCAAACACAACCAAAACAAAGGAATCAGTGATTTAGCTTAACCCTCATGTGGTGTTCAAAACCCTATAACACTTGTGGTGTTCCCGGTCAAAAATGACCGGCCCATAAAAAATTGCTTATAAATCACTCATTATACCATATTTTCACCCAATCTTGGATTCAATCTTTTTGTCAACTTGTTCTCTTTCAATTAGGACTGGTTTTATATTTCTGTTTGCATCTGATTAATCGTGAGCCTCGTTTGTCTGAGAGTAGGCATCTCATTTTTTGAGTAAAAAAAATAATAATTTATGAGTAAATTTGGAAATATGAATTTTTTTTTTGAAAAAAATGGCTACTGTTCATCACACTAGTCTACTCTAATGTTTCACCAGGAATTTGTTTTGAAACTTTTGTTTTGTAAAAAATATGGAACATAGTCACACTTGTGGTGTTCCCGGTCAAAAATGACCGGCCTATAAAAAATAGCTTATAAATCACTCATTATACCATATTTTCACCCAATCTTGGATTCAATCTTTTTGTCAACTTGTTCTCTTTCAATTAGGACTGGTTTTATATTTCTGTTTGCATCTGATTAATCGTGGGCCTCATTTATCTGAGAGTAGGCATGGTCAAAAATTGTCACAATGGGCGACCATTGAAAGTGAATGGGAGAGACTGAAAATAACAGAACAATTTAGTTTTCAGGAGCATGTTCATTATTTGCATGTACACATATGAGCATGTGTGCTTGCAAACATCGAGCCCTTGGACCTGTGCATGTATCGATACATTTATACACACGCTACCCAGACACACACACACGTTAAAACACACAAGCTTTTTTGAGTATTACACACATTCTTTTCCACAGTGAGAAATGATCCTCCCCACTATTTTCTGAGTCAAAAATCTGATGAATAACATCATGTGCAGAGAGCTGCTTTGCCATTGTGCTGCCACAAATGAATGACAAGCAAGGTGCTGTGAAGCATTTATATATGCCTGTGCTATCACATGATGTATATTTGTAAATATTGTCTTGTTCTGTGTGAGAACCACTGTCTATGGTGAGAACCTCACAGTTCCAAAACAAAATGTCATAATATTTTTTCTGGAAGCTGTGATGAAACAAGAACATGAAAGAAAGATTATTTTGAAGCCGGATCACTGCAGTCACGGCCAGTGTGTGTGTGTGTGTGTGTGTGTGTGTGTGTGTGGTAATGTCAGATGGATAAATGTATATTAGATGCAGGTTGGGTAGAATCAAATTTCTCTTTGTGGAAAAGAATGTGTGTAATACTCAAAGTTTGTGTGTTTTAACATGTGTGTGTGTGTCTGGGTTGCGTGTGTACAGTATAAATGTATCGATACATGCACAGGTCCAAGAGCTCGATGTTTGCAAGTACACATGCTCATATGTGTACATGAAAATAATGAACATGCTCCTGAAAACTAAATTGTTCTGTTATTTTCAGTCTCTCCCATTCACTTTCAATGGTCGCCCATTGTGACCATTTTTGACCATGCCTACTCTCAGATAAATGAGGCCCACGATTAATCAGATGCAAACAGAAATGTAAAACCAGTCCTAATTGAAAGAGAACAAGTTGACAAAAAGATTGAATCCAAGATTGGGTGAAAATATGGTATAATGAGTGATTTATAAGCTATTTTTTATAGGCCGGTCATTTTTGACCGGGAACACCACAAGTGTGACTATGTTCCATATTTTTTACAAAACAAAAGTTTCAAAACAAAATTCCTGATAAAACATTAGAGTAGACTAGTGTGATGAACAGTAGCCATTTTTTTCAAAAAAAAAATTCATATTTCCAAATTTATTCATAAATTATTTATTTTTTACTCAAAAAATGAGATGCCTACTCTCAGACAAACGAGGCCCACGATTAATCAGATGCAAACAGAAATATAAAACCAGTCCTAATTGAAAGAGAACAAGTTGACAAAAAGATTGAATTCAAGATTGGGTGAAAATGTGGTTTAATGAGTGATTTATAAGCTAGTTTGTATAGACCGGTCATTTTTGACCGGGAACACCACAAGTGTAACAAGGTAACAGAACTCCCACAAAAAAATACGAAAATGTTCAAAAAACAAATGAGATATAGTTATACCGCTTGGGAACAAAGTCACTAAGTTTCAGTCCAAAGCGATAACATTAACTAGTATTTTCAGGAAAAAGAAAATCTTCTCCGGGTCAAATTGACCCGAACACCACATGAGGGTTAATAGTTCAAAAATACTTGTATTTATAATTAAGATATTTCATTAAATTATTATTTTAATATGCACTTATTTTATTTTTACATTTAAGTACATTTTAAAATTATGAATGCATACAGTAAATATAATATTTCTGTTTGAAAATATATTTTTTTTTACTTATTTTATTGGCAAATGGATGTTTCTAAATAACATTTTCAAAATTCAATTTTAATTCAACTAAGTTAATTAATTTCTAAAATTGCATTTATTTATTTTGTTACATTTATGAACCTTTTAAAAATAATTACTTTATCCATAGACACACACACACATATATAATCAATTAATTTAAATGTTTTTTTTCTTACTTTTTTTACTCTTTTTGAAAAAGTTTATTATTATTATTGTTATTATTACCTATTTTATTGTTAAATGCATGACGTTTACATGCACAATTTAGTTTTCTAAATTGTAATAATTGTTATTATTAATTATTTTATGTCTACAATTGTTTTTGTTCGTTTATTTATTTATTTATATTATATATATATTATATATATATAATATAATATATAATATATATATATATAGAGAGAGAGAGAGAGAGAGAGAAGAGAGAGAGAGAGAGAGAGAGAGAGAGAGAGAGAGAGAGAGAGAGAGAGAGAGAGAGAGAGAGAGAGAGAGAGAGAGAGAGAAGAGTGTAATAAATTCATTTGTTTCACACTTTTCTTTTTTAAATAATTTATTGTTGTTATTATGACCTAGGTTTAATTAAATGAGACAACCACAATTTTAAAACTTACAAATAAATGATTTTTTTTATTGTTTCATTGTACATTTGATGGAGCTGATGGAGTCCTTTGTCCTCATGGTGATGAGCTCTGAAATTAAATGGACAAAACGGGGTGAAAACAATGTCTCGCATCTCACCGCCATCTTTTAACAAAGCGTTTGACTGTGACATTGAGGAATGTGTTTATGCAACACTGTCACTGTCATACACATGACAAAGAGCTTTTCATTAAATGCTTTTCATTTCCTCAGTGTTCACTCATTGTTTCCTGTAACGTGTTGTGTGCAGATTTTTGGAGAACTAGAGGAGGTTGGAAAGACCCTTCAGGACGATGTTTTAGACGCCGCTCCTGCTCATGGCGAGATACAAGGAGACGTCAGTCAGTGTCCGTACCATGCTGCCAAAACGGGTAAACTTCACCTGACTATTCATCTTCACATTAAACCAGGGACTCGCTAACTTTTTTTTATCAGCCAAACCCATTCAATATTTATGTTAAGTACACCTGAGCTTTTAAGTTGAAATGGCACTTTCACACATTAACTGTTCTTTGATGATGGTTGATGGTCACATGACATGCAACCAATCAGATCAAATATTAAAATAAGATTAAAATATTGTTACAAATATTTAAATAAAATTGTTATCATTATTAGTTTTAACTGTGATTATAAAAAAAGTACAAATATAAATAAGAATATAAAAAAGTACAAAAAACTATATTTAATATTATAATATGCACTTTTATTTTGGTACAATAGATTCAGTGTTATTTTACTAATATTTAGATACTATTATAGTTATTCATATATTTAATTGTTTTCATTATTTTAATTAAAGTTTTAGTATTTTTGTTGTTTTTTTATGTATGTTATAATGTATTTATAGTTTTTATTATTTTTTAATAATTAATATATTAAAAATATAATTTTATTAATAAATTGCATCAAGTTTAACTAAATGAAAATCAGAAATTGAAACTAGCTGTAATAAAATAAGTTTAAGATTTTTTATATTTTATTTTATTTCAGTTAACCTTTATTATATTTCAAGTAACAAACATGTTTTTAATTTTAGTTAACTATGATAACCCTGAATAGATGATATACAGTGTTGGGAATATTACTTTAAAAAAGTAATTAGTTATAATTACTCACTACTTGTTCCAAAAAGTCTATAATAAAAGTATCTCGTTACCAGGGAAAGTAACTATTTGCGTTACTGTTTAAAAAAAAAGTGGCTATGTCAAAGAATTTTTTTTAGCAGTTTTCACAAGTCAGTTGAAATAAGTAGAACAGACAGGTGTTTGTACATAATTTTCGATATTTATTGCACGCCGACAGACAAGAGGTTTATCCTGTACTTCAAGTATTATCTTGGTAAGATAAGTAAAGTTACACCATATAGAGATTTAACTAGCAAAATGAAATCAAACTCGCTCAACCTGAGACAACTGGTCAAGTAAACAACCTGTAAGTGTTTTGTTCACAACAAAAGTAAACTTTTAAACAACAAAAAAGTGTTTAATTCTGTAGTTTTATTCTTAATAATAAATAAATCAAAATCCCAATGTCAGACAACTGGACTAGTCAGTCCCTCCAGAAAAACGCGATTATGCGATCGCTGAATTCAATGCAAAATCAGCCAATGTCCGCATATTTATGCGGGGGCCGCATTTTTTCAAATATGCCGCACTTTCGCCGCATAAAATGCCGATTTCCATGCAAAATATGCGGGGCTTGCATGATTTCATAATCCTCGCATTTTCTTTGCAAAAAAAGTCACATATATCTTCGCAGAAAGTTGAAAAATGTTGCGTTTGCTTCATACAAGAGCAGCCATTTCTCCCTGTTTCCATGGGAACGTTATGAAGTGACGCAATTACGCGACGGGATAGCTCACAGCTGAAGTTATTGCAGAGGCCAGAAAGACTCACGGAGGCAATTGACATCTCACAAACAATGGCGCCACCAGGGGGTGGCCAGGGGTGGCCATGGCCACCCCTGGCCGACTCCTGGCCACCCCATTGGCCACCCCAATGGCCAGTATTAATTTTTGTAGCATCAGTTATGCATTTTATAAATAAGTCAAAAATATTCTTAAGTAAAAGAAGACGGGGAATTATGTGTCGTGACGTGCTTTTTAAGTGCCAAATGGTATACTGTTATAGCAGCTTTTAGGTGCGTTTTTGCCACGTTCGGACAGGCAGGGATGCAAACAGCGCGCTTTTCGGCACCTCCCGCTTTTTTTACGTCAGTTTGGGTGACAAAGTCATCTGAAGTCATTCCATAGCTTAATGTGAGGGACAGAACAGAAGTATATTTACATCATTAAAGTATAAACTCGTTTTCCCTCCTCTGCGGCTGTCATCATTCTCCATTCATATTCAAACAGCACGCGCGCCTCTTGGATGCACGGTAAAACTCTCTCCAATATGATATATTGACATTATAAATGCATGATCTGTAGATAAAAGTCTGTATATTCGCATAAAATTACTTTATTTTCTTGGAGTTTGTTGCTGTTTTTAAACGACTCACTACCGTGTTCTGTTAGATCACACATACATATCACAAGGATTATGAATCGGCATCAAACGCACAATAACTGTGAAACAAAGGAACAAATCGCACTTGGATTTGTGCGCTCAACATTTCTTCGATTTGTGACATGAGCTTTTAAATGCACACTTCTGAAGCGCAGTGCTGCTGCACACTGTGACTCCATGTTGCTTTGAGCACATCATTCTGCACCCGCGATGCGCATACACGCTGTGTGCTCTCTGTTTTTCATGTAATCATGGGTTTGCGCACTGAAATATTATTAAAAGCCAATATATTTTGTTATACCTAGCCTGCTCAATACATTTTAAATAAGCATAATTTAATTGTATATAATTTATTTGTAGTTTAGGCTATGCACTTCTGAATTCTTGACATTAATATATAAATATAAAATTGTGACATGATTGCCTGATTGAATTTTAAAAGAGAACTAATAGTAATTTGTTTTATTAACATATTTAGATTTTATAAAATTACTGTGCAGATTTTTTCAAGAATTACTTTTTGCTGCTGATGTATACACTCATTAAGTGTATTAAAAATTCATAATACATTTATGTAATATTTAAATGTGTTAACTGTAATCTTACACTGCAAACTAATAACTTAAAAATGATTAAATTCATCACAATTATGTAAGTATCTGGGAATTTGCTGTGGGGCAAGGACCCTTATATATCATATAATATATATCATTATACAATGTAATATATATTAGTTGGGCCCTACTAATATCATTAGTAACATTAAATATTACACAACAAACCAAAGTATATCAGTAGGAGTTTCCTTAAGTCTTTCTGATAGTTTTCTACAGGCTGGTTTATTACAACAGTAGAAAACAATTCTGAAATTATGGTTTATACTGTAGTTTTGGTGTGCCACCCCAAGATTTTAACTGGCCCCATCTGGCCACCCCTACGAAAAATTTCTGGAGGCGCCACTGCTCACAAATCGAACTCGTATAACTGTCTGTCACACGTTCTACCATCACATCGTTACTTAATAAACAAAATAAGATAAAAGAATAAGCATCAAACAGAAATTACCCGCACACGTGGGGTGTTTGAGGCGCACACACTGCAGACAGTTCAGCGCGCAGCTCTTAAAGGGGCCACACCTTATTTACACTCGTTACAGTCTGAAATAAAACATTGCTGATTTTGTAATTGTGAAAGAGAGTCTATTGTGCACTTATTCTTTGAATGTCCCTATTCTTCAATCTTTTGGAATGAGATGTCTCAATTTCTAGGTTTTAAAATGAATTGCAACGTTGTCTTAAATTTGTCATCTTCATACAAATGATTTTGACTTTCCTATAAGAAAAATGTATGTTATCGATTTTTTTCTATTATTAGGAAAATTTCATATTCATCAAACTAAGTGGAGTAACTCAAAACCCAACTTTGCTAATTTCAAAACAGCCTTTAAAATGTATTTTGAGTCTTTAAATTTTTTTTAAAAAATCGAAAAGCCCAAAAGATCTGTATCTCTGCTAAATGTCAAGAACTTGATATCAAACTCTGTGGTTTTGAAAATTTAATAAAAATAAATTAAATATTCCCAGCACTTTCTATGATGTAGCATGCTTTCTACATCATAGAAAGTAATAAGAAATGACTCTTTACATTAAGGTTGCCTAGTGAGAACAGGGTGTTGGGGGAATCACTTTTTTTCTCTTTTTCATCAAACCGCAGTTTTTGCAAGTTCCCGCAATTTTTGCAAGTTCCCGCAAAGTTCCCGCAATTTTTGCAAGTTCCCGCAATTTTTGCAAGTTCCCGCAAAGTTCCCGCAATTTTTGCAAGTTCCCGCAATTTTTGCAAGTTCCCGCAATTTCAACGCATAAAATTGCATAAATATCCCGCATATTCCATCGCATTTTTAAAGAAAACGGGCCGCGTAATCAAGGATTTTTGCCCGCAACAATCACAAAAAAACTCCGCGTTTTTCTGGAAGGACTGACTAGTAGACATTCTGTATTTCATGTACAGTATTTCTTCAAAAGTAAACTGTTAAATAGTATAAAGTGTGTTTGCAGTAACGGATGTAACATCTCCAGTTAACTAGCAGAGCATTCATTTAGTTTGCTATTAGAGATCAAGCGCTTAAACCTGTTGTTTTTGAACTCAAGCTGAGCGCTCGTGTCCGCTGATATCAGTGTCATGGATAAACTGTTCTCTTGTGGCTTCACTCGGAGGCGTACTTCAAAATATCGCCATTGTGGAGACTCTCTATTCATTCCGGTGAAATCACAAAATAAAAAGCACACAAACGTGTCCCTGCTTGATATAGACTGTAACCACTGATGAACATAATCCGTTTTGATGCGAGAGAAAAAACCTATACGAGTGCGTATTAGAACCCGTAACCTCTGACACGCTTGGCGAAAGATCTACCACTAGACCATTTAAAAACTCAAACACATTTACGGATGGATTTATTGACGGGTTGAGCAGAGAAATTTCACACTTTGACAAGTTTGTTCCAGCTCTTCTGAAAATTACCAAACTGACGCCCTTGGTAACGCACCGCAATTAACGTCCAGTAATGTTAACGGTGTTGTAACGACGGGAAAAGACATTAGTTAGATTACCCCGCTACTGAAAAAAAGAACGTCATTACCTAATAACGAACACTGAGTATATGTAAGCAATAAGGTACGAGAGGCTGTGCTGTATCGTGAATAAGTAACGGCTGAAGGGCGTTGTTAGGCACGACGCGAAGCGGAGTGCCTGCAACCCCTTCAGCCGTTACTTATTCACGATACAGCACTTGCCTCGAGTACCTTATTGCTTTTATAAAACGGTTGCCACACAATATTAAAGAAAAAAAAACAATGTATTAGTGCAACTTTCATGTAGTTTAATCAATAAAAACATTCCTTCCGCTAGAAAAATATAGTCCCTGACTGTGAAGAGCAACGTTCCAATGTGTAATATGCAGGAAAGCTCAAATAAAAACAACAAACCATTCTCAAACTTTGTCTCATTCTTTTTATTTTTTACAACACAAAGTTTGTGAAATTTCCTCACACCAATAGCTATAGCTTATCTCTCAGCAAAATAACAAATAAAATAAACAGAAGGGCACATATTTTTTAAAGATAACAGTTAGGTCTTTAATCTAGTTATTAATGTAGTCGCTAAAATGCTGCCTAATAAGAGATACTTTATTTATTGATGTTTATTTAAATTTATTTGAACATCTCCGTTTATTGTGCACACATTAAATATTTGTCTCATTTCAATCGGCTCCACTGTGGTGATATTTAACGCGGTCCTCTTTTGTTGGGGCTCAGCGCTGTCAGCGGTGTTTTCTGTTGTAGCAAGAATGTCACTCCAGTGCTTTCTTTGTTTTAAGTTTGGCCTCCAGTAGCTCTGTAGTGAACTTTCACACTTATGTCCACTCACAGACATAATCTCCCTCGATTCGAGACCAGCATCGGACAATCTCTGCACCATGGTACTGCGCAGGCAGTGATTTGTGTAAATCTTGGAGGTACCTGCTGCTTTACAAATTCTCGGCAACATAGTTGCGAGGTAGTTCACACCCATAGGCTCTCTTGTGTACCTGCAACAGTCAAAAACGAGAAAAACCTTTAACACAACAAGATTTAACACAAATTATAAAATAGCTTATATGATTTATGTGCCGCTGCGTGAGTGATCTACGTACCAAACACATTTAGAGAGGTTTTGCTTTTTGGGGTGAAGGTAAAAAGCGGGAGGGTTAGATGGCAGAAGAGAAAAGTACTTCTCTAGAGAGGCAACGGGACAAAGCGGGTTCCCAGTTTGTTGGAACATGAAGCCACGCCTGCTATCCTTATTTCTGTCATGTGGGTCCTTATGGTTTTTTGTGTCTTCATTGAAGCTCATTGTGACATACTTCAGACCATTTTCGTTTGTTAAAATTCGGAATGAGTCTGGAATGAGTTCTCGGTTCCCCTCTTTTCCTCTGCGTCCGAAGTGTAACTGCACGTCAAACCAGACTTTGTTTACGAGTCCTTCAGGTGTGTTGGGATTAAGCGCATCGGACAGTTTTATGGTGCTGAAATCTTTAGCAGAAATCGGTGTGTGATGCTCCGTTTTATCACGACCCTCTCTTCTCATTGTCTTTACGACTCCAACGAAAACATTATTGGATGAGATGAATTCACTGTCTCTCATCAGACACCAGGACAAACTCAAAGGTGGATCATTCAGGAATCTGTTCAGACCTGCACGTAACGCTACATAGCTACTGATCCCATATTGTTCTCCTTTGGAGCTTCTGACAGTTCCGTAGAAGTCACGGAGAAGTGCGTTGAGTTCTGTCTTGGTGATTTGTTTAAAATCTATGCTGCAACCCTTTTCACTACACCAGTCACCGAAGCATTTCACTGCCCATTGGGTTTGCTGCACGGTATTTTTTTCATTACGAGTCTTCTCGAATGTATCAATGTTACATTTCAGCACTTCAGCATGACGGTTCGTATTTGTAGAAGTCTCTCCAAATTGTTCCTCAAACCACTTATCCATCGTCATGCCACCCAGTAAATCAAAATTTACTTTAAACATTTTAGCCTTTTTAATTCTTAAGTTTTTTTCTATGTTTATGTTGATATGTGTGGTTGCTAAGGGTGTTGCTAAGGGCGCAGTGATAAATAGAACCGTTGGGTGAAGCGGTCATTGCCGTGTTTTATCGTGAATAAAGCACAGCTCTTGACCAATCAGAATCAAGGATTGGAACTAACCGTTTTATAAGTAAGCAATAAGGTACGAGAGGCTGTGCTGTATCGTGAATAAGTAACGGCTGAAGGGCGTTGTTAGGCACGACGCGAAGCGGAGTGCCTGCAACCCCTTCAGCCGTTACTTATTCACGATACAGCACTTGCCTCGAGTACCTTATTGCTTTTATAAAACGGTTGCCACACAATATTACAATAAAAAACAATGTATTAGTGCAACTTTTTAATGTAGTTTAATCAATAAAAACATTCCTTCCGCTAGAAAAATATAGTCCCTGGCTGTGAACAACAACGTTCCAATGTGTAATATGCAGGAAAGCTCAAATAAAAACAACAAAACCATTCTCAAACTTTGTCTCATTCTTTTTATTTTTTTACAACACAAAATTTGTGAAATTTCCTCACACAAATAGGCATAGCTTATCTCTCAGCAAACTAACAAATAAAATAATAATAAAAAACACAAGGGCACATATTTTGATAGATAACAGTTAGGTCTTTAATCTAGTTATTAATTTAGTTGCTTAAATGCTGCAACAAGAGATACTTTATTTATTGTTGTTTATTTAGCCTAAATGTATTTGAACATCTCCGTTTATTGTGCACGCATTAAATATTTGACTAATTTCAATCGGCTCCGCTGTGGTGATATTTAACCTCCTCTTTAGTTGGGGCTCAGCGCTGTCAGCGGTGTTTTATGTTGCAGCAAGAATGTCACTCCAGTGCTTTCTTTGTTTTAAGTTTGGCCTCCAGTAGCTCTTTACTTTTACACTTATGTCCACTCACAGACATAATTTAAAAAGGCTAAAATGTTTAAAGTAAATTTCGATTTATATAGGTGGCATGACGATGGATAAGTGGTTTGAGGAACAATTTGGAGAGACTTCTACAAATACGAACTGTCATGCTGAAGTGCTAAAATGTAATAGCCTACATTCGAGAAGACTCGTAATGAAAAAAATACCGTGCAGCAAACCCAATGGGCAGTGAAATGCTCCGGTGACTGGTATAGTGACAGGTTGGGATTAAGCGCATCGGACAGTTTTATGGTGCTGAAATCTTTAGTAGAAATCGGTGTGTGTTTCATTACGACCCTCTCTTCTTGTTGTCTTTACGACTCCACCGAAAACATTATTGGATGAGGACGGTGAATTCGCTGTGTCTCTTCAGACAGGACAAACTCAAAGGTGGATCATTCAGGAATCTGTTCAGACCCGCGCGTAACGCTACATAGCTACTGATCCCATATTTTTCTCCTGTGGAGCTTCTGACGCCGGTTTCACACCACACGCGTTAGCAGAGCGTCAGCAGCGCGTATTTTTTTTCGGCGCCCATGTTAACAGATTAGAGCATTCACACCGCACGCAGAGGCGGCGCGGCATCGCGTAGCAGGAGCAGAGCAGGAGCAGCAGTGCCGCGATCGTTTCGGCGTTCTTTCTATTTTTGCCGCGCGGCTTACGCTGAATTAAAGCAACATTGCATTGATCATGGCCAAATTAACGCTCTGCTAACGCGTGCAGTGTGAAACCGGCGTGACAGTTCCGTAGAAGTCACGGATAAGTGCGTTGAGTTCCGTCTTGGTGATTTGTTTAAAATATGCTGCAACCGTTTTCACTACACCAGTCACCGAAGCATTTCACTGCACATTGGGTTGATATGTGTGGTTGCTAAGGGTGTTGCTAAGGGCGCAGTGATAACTAGAACCGTAAACTACTTTAAAGCAACACCATGGAACTTTTCCTCTTCGGTCACCCTACTGGTTGGAAACGAAATTGTCCGTTACCGCCGTCGATGCCTACCGTCGCGCACACGCTCGTTGTTTATCCAGAACCGGCTTTAGAATGAACGATGTCCACAGATAAGGTAGAGTATGTTACATGATTTCATAAAAGGATGATGTATGATGCGACATCAGAAACGAAGAAAAACAAAATAACGACTATTGTGACGTTTGACGTAAAGCAGTCGAATTTTGTAGTTCTTTTTGTGCTCGGGTTAGGCTACTACCCGAACCCTGGTAAAAGCGATACAGACCCCGTCAGGCTATGGCAGAAGTGCCTTTCACCTTGTTACGACTTGATGAACCACTGATAAGATTTTGGAAACATTATTTTAAGGTAAAAAATGTTAAAAATTGTTGCTTTAAATTTCAGCCTTTGATTTGATAATTACTCTAATCTATATCGCTATTACTGTTACCCGACCTTAAACCCAAGCAAACGAGAGCGTTTACATGATTACTTCATTCTCTCTGTTTCAGCTGCCAGTAATGGATCATCTTACGTTTGTCAAGTGGCCATGACTGTGCTTAAAAATCCCTCCGGTCAAGTCCTATTGGCCGCCTGGATCGCTGCTCTAGCCGGATTGGCTGCTTGGTACCTCATGTGACCCAGTCTTAGTGCATCCCATTTGCCCCCCTCGTCCTTGGATAAATGTGATTTAAAATGATAATGAGCACAGACTTTTTAAACGCAGGATAGCATAGGTTATTGTGGCAGCGTTGATGAAGTTAAGGCTGGAGAAGAGCTGCGGAATTATGCAGAGTGTTATTTTTATAGTTTTATCGCAGTATCGAGTCATTTGGTGCGACAAGTCAAATGGGCTGAAACATATTCTACGCAAGTACGTGAACATAAACGCAAGATTGATTACATGCGTCATGTTAATTGTGTTGAATTCTCATTCATCACTATAGGGGGCGCTATAGAAGGTATTAGTGCAAATTGTCTTCAAAAGTGAGTTTTATTGGCCCAATTTGTCATGCGTGCTTTCAAATGAGATATGCTATGCATATATGCAGCATTTATAAAGAAAAGCAGGATTTCTGCAGGGCAGACCACTGAGATGTCAGGTCAAAAAATGACTGCCACAACGGTTAATGAAGAAAAGCCTTTTTTGAAGAGGTTTAGAATGTAAAAGATGGTGGAATTGCACATTAAGGTCATTTTTGTCTAGTTACACAAAAGGACGTGTTACAGACTCGGCATTTAGGGATTTTTCTACATAGTCGGTTTAATGGGCCAGAATGAACAGTTTTTACTAATTGAGGTTTTCAGTGATGATGTAGATAAATAACTTTTATACATTCATTATTATTGTGTGTACATATTATTATATGTCATATGTATACACAATTATATATATATATATATATATATATATAATTACTATAGGCTGATAGATTGGTCCAGGGCTTTACTCAAGGCTTTGATGAATGATTATCAGATATATTAAGTATTTGAATGCAATTTAAACAAGGGAACAATACTGAATGAATTACTATACTGTTTTTGTACAAGCTAGAATTAGCAATAGTGTTTTTCTCTGAAGGTGATTCATTGATCCGACTTGCAGTATGAAATTATTAACATTTATGGATAATTGTTATGTATGCAATAATTTCTCGAGTCTTCATGCAACTTTTAATCCATTCATTGATAGTTTTGTTCCCTTTGACATTATATTTTTTGTTTAAGAGCTAACCTTAAAGATCATTATACTGATGAATATTTTTCTTGAAGTGTTTAATGTAATACCAAATGCTGAGGGGCCGAACATTCACAGGACTTTTTGAACCAAAGGACATGTTACTTTGCATTACTAATCGGATCATAAAGTGTTTTTCATAAATGGTTGTGCTTGGGTTTTATGCAGATAATTTAATTTTTTGGCTTATTTTGTGTTTTGAATAACTGACTGCTTTAAAAAAAAGTGCTTTTTTAGTTGTTTAAATTGTTCCCTTCAGATGTATGTTCACTGTAATGAGTAATAAATTTACAACTGTGCTGCATTCACTGTTCAAGTTCATGTTTTATTTATTTGAATAATTCAGATTTAATGTTAAGCTCTTTGCATGCTGTACGTTACCAGAGAAAATAGGAAACTCTTAAAATAACAACCTAAATCTTCAGATTGAATTAGGCAAATCAATCAGAAGATGTATAATTTTTTAAATAGTATTTTTGCTAAAGCCATGTATTGATGTTTCCCTACAAAATGTGATTCCCTACAAAACCGATCGAGCTCAGGCATCTTGAAGGACATCTCAATTCTCTAACTGCACCGTGAGGAGTGGAGGATCGAGGAGTGAGGAGACTTCCAGAGGAGGCATGAGCGAGGATACACAGGTGCATCCTATGCGGGACTGTTTTATTGACTAAACGTGATGGACGTATCAATTCTCCTCCCCCTTCACATCGGTCACAATTATTTTAATTTATACTTTACCTTTGCAGTTTATATAAACCATACATCTCACATGTTTCAACTGTGTAGCCTATCTTTATTATTATTTATTATGAATTTATTAAATAACCAAATTTCAACAACATCCTTTTAGCTCTGCTGATGAGTGGCGCTCGAGTGATCAAGTATTCCTAAAGATATAAAAAAGCTTTTATTCGATTCCTCTGTCCTCTTTTTCTTTCCTTGCTTCGTTCCCGAGGAAGCGAGGATGCACAAATAAGAAATGAGAAGCACCCAAGGTGTGTTCCCACTGTCGGGCTGGTAGTACTAAAACAATGAACAACCACACAACCTCACCATTTCGCCAGTTGACTGAAAACTAGCCAGATCGCAAAATGATCACGATAGAAGAAATGGCATTTACTTAAAAATTAATAATATTAGTTCACTTCAGAATTAAAGTTTCTGGATAATTTACTGACCCCCACGTCATCCAAGATGTTTATGTCTTTCTTCAGTCTAAAATAAATCTTCAGAGACTTAATGTCTTCTTTTATCTTCAGTTGATTTAATCTGTTTCTGGAAGTCAGTTCTTCTGTTTCTACTCGTCTCTTTTTCTGTTCTCTTCTTTTCGTCAGTGATTCTGCTTGTTAACAGGGTTATTAAGGCTGAGATGACTGAATACACAGACTTTGTGGCTCAGATAAGGTCCAGTTCTGGTTTATTTCTTTGCATGTCCTGCTTGTGGCCCAGATCTGGCAAACAGGAGCGGTCTGCCCAAGTGCCATTATTCCACATGTGGACCAGATCATCAATCCAGTGTGTGCCAAAAGTGCCAGATGTGCACCGGATCTGGGCCGAAACAATGTTGCTATCTGGGAAATTATTTGAGGCCAAAAGGTATGATATGAGAAAGACTAATGAGAAACAGAAAATACCATAGTACTGATAATACATTTGCGAACTATTGTGCATAAGCAGAGATATTAAAGATGCACAGTCATTTTTATTTTGTGTTGTAAATGTAAAGTGCAATAAATACACTAAACTTCTGTGACGATTCACAAACTAATGACTTAGGATCCATTCTGATGAATGTCTAAAACTTTGTGATACTTTGTCTCCTTTTATTTTCTATTATCTAAACTTATATAACATTTCATGTAAAATTAAATTAAAATAAGATTTATATTATTTTTTCATTGTTATTTTAAGAATACATTTTATATGTGATAAAAAAAAAATTCTGAAATGTATTTCTAGGATATTGTCAGTGGGTCAGAGTTCTCCCTATTTTTGTGGATACATGACATTGTTTCATCGTCCGCATTTTAGTTTAATTCCATGTAACATGTCTGCCATATTTCACATCAGATTAAAGTGAGGAGTGTTGGTGACAGAAGAAACTACAGCCGGTTTATCAGGCTGAATGATGGGAGGTACTGTGTCTGTTCAGGTGTTACAAGAGAAAGAGGAAATAAACCAGGAAAAATCTCCTTACGATCGAACAAATTCTAATATCGACACAATTATTTTAGACACTCTTGAGACACAGTGAATGTTGAGTTGAAGGTAAGTCAAGAAAGAATCAGACACATTTATTTTCCTGAAGTCTGGAACGAGTGTGACTCGAGGACCATCTTTGTGTTAAACCGGTTTAATGCATTTAATATTAAACCTGTAAATACATGAAAAATTATAGATATATTTGCATTTTTGAAAATGAAAGCCTGATTCAACAAACCTCAACATGTGTTTTTATGTATTTATTTGTACTACGTGTAGACACACATTGTGTATTTGTATCTTGTTTTGTCTTGACCCGTTTAACCGGTTTTCTTTGAACAGAAAGTGAAAATGTGTATCTTGCTTTTGGACAGAAGGTTAAGTGTTAGTTTTTCATTCTACGGCATGAAGCATGTTTGCTGACATGAAATGTTTTTCTCTTTTTTCATATTTTCTTTTTTAGGATCTGTCTCAGAGATGTTAATTTGTTTGACTCTCCTCCTTGTTAGTGGTATTACAGATTCAAGATCAGGTAATTTATTAATCATTGTGAATAATACTTTATTTTAATTGAACAGTACTGTTCATCTGGAACAACACTAGGGTAAAAACCTTGAGGATGAGTAGTTCAGATCTGCTCTTTCTCTTGTAACAGAGCAGTTTGTAGTAGTGGGACCTGCAGATCCTGTATTAGCTGTCGCTGGTGAAGATGTGATTCTGCCCTGTTCAGTCAATCCCAGCATCAGTGTTGTGGACATGAGAGTGGAGTGGTTTAGACCTGATCTGAAAGACTCAGTTCATCTCTATGATGAGCATGAAGACAGAAACGCAGATCAGATTCAGTCCTACAGAGGGAGAACAAAACTGATCCATCAAGAACTACAGAGAGGAGACGCATCACTCAAACTCTCAACAGTCCGAGTCTCTGATGAAGGACGTTATAAGTGTTTTATTCAGTCTAAATCCCGATATGATGACGTCACTGTTGATGTCAGAGTTGAAGGTGAGGAAACCAATCAAAACTAGCATGATATTTTCATGGAACAGACTAATTTAAAAAAGTCAGAATAACAACATCATGTTCTTGCTGATCTGCAGCTGTAGGACGTCCTCCAGTGATCACTGTAGTTGGGTTTGATGGTTCAGGAGGGTTTCATCTACAGTGTGAATCTGAAGGTTGGTATCCTGAACCTGATCTTGAGTGGCTGGACAGTGAAGGAGTCAGTTTGAGTTCAGAAACTACAGAGACACACAGAAACACAGACCGATTCAATGTCAAACACACCATCACTGTATATGACAGTAACGACAAGATTCACTGCAGAATCAAACTGAGACATCACATGCTGGAGACACTGATCAACACCACAAGTAAGTACTGACACTTCTGTTACTGTACTTGCACATTATATTTTTGATGCAGTAAAAATAATTAATGATTATCAGCTTAAAATGTAAAGTTAAAAGCAATAGGAACATTAGGTTTTGTGGCGAACAGGACGGCCGAGGGACGTGAGAGAACTGCGTGAGGCTGGTGTTGCGATTGCTAATGAGCAACACCTGTGATGCACACCGGTCTCGCATCTCTCACGGAGGAGCAGAAGCATAAAGGAGGAGCGACGACGTGGATGATGGAGAGAGGAACAGACCTGATTTTACGTTGTGTTTTGTTTTATTTTAGGTAGCCAGCAGTCGTCCGTGAGGGGCTGCTGGCGGTTCTTTTTAGTTTGTTTGTTTTATTTTAAATCAATTGTTAATTGTTCGCCAGGTTCCCGCCTCCTTCTTCCCTGAACATTGCTACAAGTTTATAATAGAGTTTTGTATCAACATTATTGATACAAATGTGTATGTGTAATTCAGAACTGAACATTATTTAAAAACCTGTAAAAATATGTTTGAATTATACAATCTGCTTATTTACTGATTTGTTTTGCAGATAATATGTTTATTTCTTGGAGGACATCAGTCATCCTGATGTCAGTTTTTGTTGTGCTCGTTGTGATTGCTGGAATACTGATTGCTGTGTTCGCGCATAAAAACAGAGGTAAAGTTCTTGTTTTCTTGCTATGTTTTATGTAAATAAATAAGGCCGACAGGGCCTTATTTATTTACTTTTTTTTTACTAATTTCTAATCTGAATAATTTAAACACAGACATCAACAATCAGCACATGAATCTCAACAATGGTGACAGTCAAAAGTTTCATGTCACAATGCATCCTGGGTGCCAGCATAGTGCAAAACTCCCAGCATGCATTGCAGCATGAATAGAATAAACGGCTGAATGGTCTTACCGTTTTCTGTTTTGTTGTATTTCTATCCTGCTGTAACCTCTAGATCCTTCTAAAACATTTCCATAATCCACTGCAATTAAATATTGTTCTTACCTTTAGATTAAAGAAGTAAGATGTCGATCCTAACTATCAGCTGTCATTAGAGAACAGCTGATTACCTTATAAGGTCAAAATCTTGGGACATATAGTGCCTTATTAATATAAGCTTGCAGAAGCATATATATTACAATTTTCTATTTCTTTTTCACACTTATTTTATGCAGCACATACACAAAAGCTTTGTATAATGAGTTCTTCTATCGCAGCCCCTTTGCCCTTGTCACGGACACGCATACAAAAAGGTAGATCCAAATGCAGATTTATTATATGGTAATCCGTAGTCAGTCAGCCAGGCACGGGTCAAAATCCATACAAAACTGTCCACTAAACAAGAAACAAAACAAAGTGGAACAGGGATGTGCAACACAACAGAAAACAAGGAATCCACAATAAACACAGAAACAGACAGGGTATTTATACACCGAGAACTAACAGGATGATGTGAAACAGCTGTGGCAATGATCAGATGATCATCACACCAGACACTGTGACATAACATGCGAAGCATGAAGGGTCTTCACTGTCAAAGTGAAGACCCTTCAGGCGGCAGTGCGGTGAAGACCCTTCGGGCGGCCAGGGCGGTAAAGACCCTTCGGGCGGCCAGTGCAGTGAAGACCCTTCGGGCGGCCAGTGAGGGTGGACAGGGGACGCAGGTGGACACGTGGCCAGGCCGGAGGCTTAAGAATAGACACCGGCTCAGAAACAGTAACAGACACAGGCTCCGACTCAGGAACAGACATCGGCTCTGGCTCAGGAACCAGGGACACGAAAGCTCTGAAGGGTCTTTCCAGGATCTGGGCTAGACGTTCCAAATACTCGGTCGGTGCCCTCGCTGCCACGAGTATGGGCATCTCCTGATCTGTCTTCAACTGGGCAGATGTGACATGAACTGTCTCTGGCTTAGCAGACGTGATGTGAGCAGTCTCTTGATCTGCAGACGTGACATGAACGGTCTCTGGATCACAGTCATTAACAGGCACAGGTACCTGGCTGAAGAGAGACTAGACTGTGGAAAAACGTTGGAGTTCATGGCGACCATGTCCCCCTCTTCAGCCTCCATGAGTCCCAGAGAATCTGGCCAAGCAAGTTCCCTCAAATAGTGGCGGGTGAACAGGATTTTTAGAGGAGCTGCAAGTCACAGTCCTGGGCTTACCTCCTCCAACCTGACAGCTGGCTACTATGGTGTCCTCAGTCCTGCGAGCCGCCACTGCAAAATAATAAAATAATGTCTTAGGCGGCCCCGTACTGCTGGATCTATTCATGATGGATTCCTTTTGTAACGATCACACTTTCGGGAGTAAAAGAGAGATCCAAGTGCAGTTAAATTTATTGGGATAATCCGTACTCACAATCCAGTCCAGGCAAAGGTTTAAAACACCAAAAGGGCAATCTAAAAACATAAACACAAACAAGAAACAGGCAAAATCACGGCACAGAAGTGTGAGGACATTAAACAAGGATTCTGTGACAAACACTGAACTGACAGGGTATATATACACACAAGTGCTAAACGAGGTGACAAGAAACAGCTGAGCACAATGAACACTCTGTGACACACAGGATCATGGGAAATGTAGTAAACCAAGTGTGAATGACGTCTAGTGGACACAAGGGAAACACACACCAGACACTGTGACAGACCTTTCTCTAGCATCACACCTTCTGTCTAGCAAACAACATTCAAAGTTCCCTTTTACAATACATGTGGTCTCAACCACCCTACACATATACACATTAACGTGTCAACATAGTTACACACAGACTTGTCTGATCATTTTTATTACCTGCTGTGCACGATGAATCAGTTCATTTCGAGGAAGTTGAGCCTTAGTGGACGATATTGCTCTCCTACTCCTTGTTATGAATTATTTTGGCATTGCCCCTCTGGAGGCGTACAACTAGCCATAAAAAGATAGCCATAAAAATCTCAACCTGACATCAACATTTCTTATTTCTGAGTTATTCTCATCCGTTACATTTAATGCATTCAGCCAGTCTTAATATATACAATTTCTGGAGAGTTTTCAGAAGAAGATTTATCAGAAGACTTCATACACAACTGTTCCCCAATATTAATTTATATTTTATTTTTTAACTTTTTTTAGCCTGTTTTGTGACGTTCAGAGTATTATTATTTTTGATTGTCACCATTGTTGAGATTGATGGGCTAATTTTGATGTCTGTGATGGTCTAAGTTATGTTATAACTCTTTTTGTTCATGATGTGTTTAAAATCTTCATTATAACTGGATGCTGTTGGAACTCCTGCTGTAGTTTCACAGTGGTGGTAATGTAAAGTTTAAGTGTGTTAATAATATAACACTTTTGATAAAGAATTGAACACTGGATGAGATCAAGAGACTCATCCAAAGTTCGTGTTTTCTTGTTATTTTATATGTTTTATAAGTATGGCAGCCTGGGAACATTTTTTTTTAAACATTTTTTACTAATTTCTATTTATTAGCATCTGCATCACTTAGAGACAGACATCAACAATTCATCATTATCAATAAATAACAATCAGCATTCACTGATCACATTTTCTCTCTTTTCTGCCATAAATGTCACTTTTAAACATCTCGTTTACTAAACGGACATTCATGTAGTTCTGAAACTCTTATGAAAATATTCCAAATGAAATCAGTGTCATCAATTTACTGAAATGGAATTAAGATAGCAAGAAACTAGCAACAAATACATATATTGATTCATATAGTAAATTATCATATCAAAGTAGAATGTAATCAACACGTTGAATGCTACACTAAAGAAAGGCTAGGCTAATAGCTAAAGGCTATCACCAAAATTACATTAAATTAAAGCTTAGAATAAACATCACAAATATGTGCAAAGATGTATTATCCTGAATTAACTTACATTAATTTAATGCTTTTACAAACACAGAATAAAGGATGGCATTCAAAGATCAGGAGAAGCTGACAGCATGAGATCTGATCACTTATATTTCTAGAGAACTACCACAGGGGGAGCCAGAACTAAAACAACAATACAAGTGACAAGTAGATGTGGAGCAGAACACACTGTCAGTAGCAAATTCTTAAAATATGAACACATTCTCACAGGCTGTGAGTCAGAGCCACCAGAATGTACATGTGAATATTGAATTGAATCATTTTATAGAATCAGCTTTTCTGCACAGCCGCCGGTCTTGACTCTCACAGGTTATGGAAACAGTCCTCCGAAAAATACGCACCACACAGTCCACATTTTTAGTTGTTCTGTTCTGGATCAGTGTTGTAAATAATGCTTAAGCACTGTTTTGTAATTGTAGGAAATATATTGTAGGAAATATATGAGTGTAAGCTATATATGTCACGATTGGGTGAAGGCAGGAAGTACGAGGAGACGAGGAATAACTACTAACAGGAATTTAATGATCAAAGAACTCAGGAGATCCTACACATAAAAGATAAATGCAACATATTAAATAACCGACAAGGAGTGAGGGAGAACACTGCTGCGTCCCAATTCGCTTACTTATACTACGCCCTAAAAGTATGTACTCTTTTTGTGAGGAAAAAGTACATACTTTTGAGTGTGTAGCAAAAGAGTAGGCAAGCTTTGGGACATACTATCACGTCATCTTTAACGGACAGCTCTGTCGCGTGCTGCGTGCATCCTGTCACCGTAAACTGCCCTGTCAATCATCTTGTCACAGTTAAAATCCTCCATTCTATCTAATTTTATTTCCTACCGATTCGGAGAGCACGTTCATCTGCCAGTTGTGGGTCTTTCATGCTCTCCTCGTGTTTGCAATTTGATGCATTTAAAACGTAGTGGCTAAACGTGTCTTTACAAAAGTTTACAATGCAGCTGCAAATGCAATATAATGTGGACAACATTGAATAAATTCATTTTCGTCAGGTTAGATACTGATAATTAATCACTCAAAGCTCTTTATCTAAACCTCTCTACACAACCGCGGGCGGCGCGGGTACTCGCGAGTCCTCCGTATCGACTACGTGTCTGTAGTTTTTTAACACTTTTTACTCGTGTTTGTAGTTCTAACCGAATCCTCGTCCAACGCGCAATGGTTTGTGGGCAATATCAGCCGTTAGAGTGTGCATCGATCTATGGTGCGTTCCATTCGACAGGGTCCCTACGCAGTGTTCACTGCTCCCTACTCCCTCAACACGGTATACCAGTTGAAGTGGACTTCACTGACTTCCTGTGAAGCGATGATGTATCAATGTTCCCTATGCCGTTTGCAGTGCCCTTCGAACTGAAAATGTTCATTCGTTTCGAATTGGAATCTCACTTAAGATGGCGAAATACCCTGTCAAGTCCACTTCGCAGTCCACTTACGGTCGAATAGAACGCACCTCTACACTTCGGATTCTGACCGGAAAAAGTAGACCATCCGGGTATCTTTGAAACACTTATTTCAACATACTACGATTTGGGACATACTAATTCTATTTTCGAATACAATTTAGGACGGATAGTATGCGAATGGGCTCTATGCACTGCGTTATTTCCGGTGAAGGATTAAGGATGCTCGATAACTTCCGCCGATCGTAGAGTCCAATGCAATACCGAGAATTTATATTGAATTTTATACTCCATGGTTATAATAAAGAAACATTAGTAACAAAAACAGATAAAACAGACACCCCTCATTGTGTTTATGCTTCTTTTTAAAATTATATTAAATAAACATAACTATATATAAAATTACATCTAAACGTATATGTACGTTTCGTTTCAAAGACTGGAGGACAGTAAATATTGAAGACTCTGCCATAATCCCGTTTTCCTCTGTTCTCCTCCGCTTTAATCTCCACAACTGGAAATGGACGAGCATCCTTGCGTCAAATGCGGAACTTATGCGTGCATATAGCCCATTGGGACGCAGCACATGTTTGCATACACAGAGAACCGATCATGGGAACAAGACACAGCTGGGGCAAATAACTAGACACAGGTGGAGAAACTGAACGAGTAGCGGAAAAACTGAGACACTGGACTTAACCAAAACACAGAGACGGGGGAAACTAAGAAACACGGATAACACTTGTGACAATATATATATTTAATGCTGTGTTCTCTTGTCTTTATTGTAATTTTTTTTCAGCACACGATCGACTACAGAATGAGAACAGAAGAATTCAGAATGAGAAAAGAAGCATTCAGGATGAGAAGAGCAGAATACAACATGGTGAACTTGTCTTATTTAATTTATTTAAGGGGTCATTTAATGGTTCTAAAAATGACATTATTTTGTTCATTTGGTTTTAATACAGTGTTCACACATTTTTAGGTTAAAAAAAGTAATTATTTTACACATACTGTACATTACTGTACACATACATTATTAATGCTCCTGTATACTTTACCTTTCTGAAACACGCTGATTTCTACAAAGCTCATCGTTCTGAAAACCGCAGTGTGCTCGGATTGGCCAGCGATCCAGTGCATTGTGATTAGCAAAACAACCTTGCGTGTGTGATGGAAATGTCACTTCCGTTACCATATTTGGAAAATCAGCTCCCAAAGCAATAACATAACATAACATAGTGCATTGAAGGGCAAGTATGGTAACCCATATTAGGAATTTTTCCTCTGCATTTAATCCATCCATGTAAGTGCAGAGGATCAGAGTAGTGAGTAGTGAACACACACTGTAAACTGTGATTAGGGGTTGGGTGTCTTGCTTAAGGGCACCTCAGTCATTTCCTACTGGTACTGTAATCAAACCAGCAACCTTTGGGCTACCAGTCTGACTCGCTAACCATTAGCCCACAACTGTCACCATTAACAGGTGATAACGTCGGTTATATCTTATCGAGCCCGAATCTGATCCAGAAATGCAGATGACCAGTTCAGTTCAGTTCGTCTTTATAGACCCTTTTACTGTTTGTACACAATGATGACGTGGCTATGCGCGTGCATATTGGCAACGGAAGTATGGCGAGAATCAGCAGTGTGTCAAACTACATGAGCGGATTAAGCAACACAAACAGAGAAAGTTATTCCAAAAAGTTAACTTTATCAAATGTTATCCGGCTAGATCCAGAGAAACCGAGCGTGCATACACCCAAGAGAAATTACGAGCATATAAATCACTGGACGCTTATGAATACATTGTCTGTGGTCATGTACAGAACGCCAAATACCATGACATAGACTCAGACTTTTGCGTGTTGAAATCAGAAATTCTTCCTAGTCAAAGACAAGGACAACAATGTATGAGGCTTATAATCAACCATATTACCCAGACCTACATTTGTTTTCCTTCATTTGATTCTTTTCCATCATTCTTTCCTACATTTATTCTTACTCTTCACCCAGACCTACATGTATCCTTGTCCTTACATTTTATGTTGTTATTGATACCTGTGTTGATGCACTTTTGTTTAAAGTTTTATTTTGTAATGCTATAGTACTTTAATATTAACTATGTTGCTTGCATACATTGCAATTAAACTACTTATAACAGTTACAAATAAAGTTGAAAGGCACTGTGAATGTAGACGCAAGCATTTTTTTATTATGTCCTGGCTTCAATCAACACGTTTAATCGCCTGCAGCCACAGGCGCCGCCGGTTTTTCTGAAACGTCCGTGATCCTGTCGGAATCCTATAAAACTTTGGTGGAATATCGATTAGTGCAACCGTAAACACAACAACCAGACATTTTGATGCTGGGAAACCGCTATGATAAACTTTCAGAGTTGCTAACACGATAGAGCCAGTGGGAAACAACACCGCTTCTGTTGGCAAAATGCGCACGCAACTATTTGATAACGTGGGCTGTAAAAGGGTCTATTCATGTCCCGAAGGCAAAAAAGTGTATCTACGACAATCTGAGGTTTTCGCGGGTGTGTATATCCTACATCAAGATTTAAATGTTTAACTCGTATTAGGCAGTGGGCCAGATTTGTCTGAGGTTAAACCCCTTACGAAAAAGGACTATAGTAATCCTATGGCTATTAGTATTCTATAGTAGTGTATAATACTTCTGTGATGTTCTTTAATACCTCTATACTTCTAGGCTATGTCCCAAAATACTGTAGTATTCCTATAGGATTAACGTTACTATAATATTTTGTCCTAAAATACTACAAGATTCCAATAGTTGTTTTTCATAAGGGATGTCTCATTCACATCAGCGTTATCAGCTGAAGGTTATCAGCTCAATACAGACTGCAGTCTGTGAGAACTGTCAGCAAAGGCCCTCTGCAACTTCGTAGCTACTACTACTGATCACCGTTTTACAAATGGATTAATAGTTTGGAGTGAAGCATATGTACAATTGGTAAGTGACAAGGTTTTATGGACTTATAGTAACTTATACGCAAGTTGATTAAGTTATAGGCTTATATTGCCAGTAACTACCGCAATGTCTTACCTAGAGATTCAACCAGTCTGGAAAGGACACCTCCGGCCATTTGGTTGGGTCATTGACCCAGTTTTTAATTAAATAAGGGCAATCATAACCTATTACAGTTCATTTTGCAATGTACCATTGCACTTGACATTCTGTCCCCCTCACTTTTGAAATGATGGCTACGCCTTCTGCCAGAATGCATCTCACACCAACCAGCAAGCGTCAATAGCAGAGGAGAAAACCCGCGTAATATCAAAATACTAGGCTACTGTTATTGTGTCATGAAATGTAATTTTAAGAGTGTTTCAGGTGAGAATGTGGTTGTTTAAATTTCAAATCTGTAGTTTATTTATAAAGATAGCACCTATTTGAAAAATGTATCTGACGTTTTCGGAGTTCTGACATCCAAGCGTTCACCAGGCGCTCACTGCTCATCAACCCCGACTGGAACAGCTCCTCGGCTAGTGCTTCTGATGAAGAACCAACAGACTTTTTTTTTAATAATGTTGATTATGTGGTTAGTAGTTGCATTTACCTTATTTTAACGAGGTTCTGCAATCAGCAGACATCATTGGAGAAGAACGAAGCAGACAGAGGACACTTAATGAAAGTGCAGGGCGTGTGCTTCAGGTGTGCTTGCGTTTGATTCAGCGAGAGTGAGGGCCTTGATTTCGCGGCTTTACTTCCTGCTCACGACTGCGCATGTCTGGTCCCGAAACACGCAAGTGTGCAGACTCAAGTTCCAAGATGTCAGCGTCATATCGAGACACTGGCGGCTTCAGTTCTCTCTGAAAAGCAATGGGACAAAATTATTTCAACAATGTTTTTGAGGAAATGGAAATAATAGAAACAATAGATTTGTCTTGGTGACGGTTGCTCATGTTGGAAGTGAGGGCTTCTAATGGGCTTCAATTTTCTCTGTTAAATCAAGTGGGCCGCTGTGTCCATTTCGTTTACTGTCTATGGAGACAAGTATAGGATAAGTATATAGTATATAAAAGTATAAAGCTGCCTTCAGGCTCCTGCACCTGCGCTCTGTGCTGTGGATTCATACCGATCTGCTTTTACACTGAGCGTGCTGCAGGGGCAGAAATGCACTTTATCTACATGAAGACATCAGACTTAAAACTAAAGCTGTTTTGAATTATAGATCATATTCGATAAGTGCTTTTCGTAACCCAATCGATTGAAGGCGGGGTCTGAGCCGGTCGGCCATGATGGTAGGAGACGCTATCGGTTACCAGGGGTAACGCCTTTAGAACCCATAGACACGACTAAACATTCAGCTCTTAAATTTTCGCGCATTTATTATTTTGGCAGGACAGAGACGGATCTAAGAATACGAGAAAAAAAAGGAAGAAAGTAAAGCAATGCTAAAAGAAAAAGCGAAAGAAAAGGGACCTTACAAGAACAAACTCACACAAAGTGCAAAACAGCTGTTGCACTAATAACAGTATTATTATTTTATTATTATTACTTATGTTGTCCATGAAACTTATGTTGTCCAAATAGCCTATATATTTCAGTTCTCAATAAATATTGTTAGGCCATATCAAGTTGTTTCAAACATTTATTTCAATTAAATAAAAAAGTAATGAACAAGGCACTCAAACAACACTTTTGCATATTCGTTAAGGCACAGCAAACAGTGAAAATTGTATACTAAAGGCATCAGCAAACCCAGCAATTCGCGTCTCCTCGTCAGGTCAGACTCTCCCTGCTGTGTCCATTTCGGTAACCCCAAAAACTGTATTTCATTGTTCCTATGTTTTCCAAATGTATCGTGTGAGTTACTGGAGGAGTTCTTAACGCAGCAGTTACTTCCAGGCATGGTAAAACAGTGCAGTATTGCGAGAAACTCCTCTACTACCGAGCTAAAAACACACGTAAACAATACTGTTTTGCTTTGGGAATCCTACCAACATGGCAGAGAGGGGAGGGGCTCTGTAAAATGACGTCAACTCCTCGTTCTCAATAGGCCGAAGTCGACGCCCCTCCATAAACCAAAACCTATAAACTATAAAACTAGTTTATAAGTTACATCAGTATCCCAGCTGTCATCTGGGGTGGCAAAGCTCATTTTTAGGAAGGCAGCGAGCCAGAACTAAAACAACAATACAACACAATACAATACAAGTGACAAGTAGACGTGGAGCAGAACACACTGTCAGTAGCAAATTCTTAAAATATGAACACATACTTACAGGCTGTGAGTCAGAGCCACCAGAATGTACATGTGAATATTGAATTGAATCACTTTATAGAATCAGCTTTTCTGCACAGCCGCCGGTCTTGACTCTCACAGATTCTGGAAACAGTCCTCCGAAAAATACGCAGCACACAGTCCACATTTTTAGTTGTTCTGTTCTGGATCAGTGTTGTAAATAAAGCTTAAGCACTGTTTTGTAATTGTGTCCTCTTTTGAAAGGCCAAACAAAGTAGTTTTAAAAACACAGTCTTCACGACCGGCGGCGCGTACATGTAAGACAGATATTACACTTTTGCAAAGGCGTAAATATCCAGCGCACATGGCACCCTTTAGCGTCAAATGAGACACTTCGGTTATGGTTAAGTTTAGGTATGGGGTAGGGTTAGGGTTAGACCACTAGGAGGTGCCTTCGGCCCAAATATATCTGCGACTCATTTGACGTTAAAGGGTGCCATGTGTGTTGGATGTTTACGCTTTTGCAAAAGCGTCGTATATGACGCCTTGGGATGAGAACGGGCTGGATATTGGCTTCATCTTCATTGATCATGTGAAGCACTGAGGAAAATGTCTTTGTCCCAAACACTATTGTAGGAAATATATGTGTGTAAACTAGTTATATATATTTAATGCTGTTTTCTCTTGTTTTTATTCTAAATGTTCTTTTCACATAATTTTCTCTGAATTCTCTTTAGAACGTGATCAACTTTTACAAAGTCAGAAAATGATTCTACTACAAGGTGAATTTGTTTATAGCTTTATTAAAATATTAATTGCTTTTGAATTATTTTGCAAAACAATTAATGAATACTGTCTATTCATAAATATACAATTCATTATATGTTATTAAAATATACATTTATTATAAGATACATTTATTATAAGATATAAAGTCTTCTTTGATTTTGTTGCTGTTCAAATGGTGATTAAAATTAAAATCTCATTATTGATCTAGAGATGAATTCTGTTATGAGCATATAATTTCATAATTTCTGTTTTTAGCTGTCTCACAATTAAGAAAACACATGGGTGAGTATAATCTATGCATGTTCTTTGACATAATTATTTATTTTAATACTTTTATTTTCCAGAATACATCAACATTTATTTATTTATATATCTTTGAGAGTTTGGTATAATGCACTGCACAAATGCTTAAAATGATCCAAATACTAAATGATCAAGAATGTTTAACAAATGCCATCTCTGCATATGCTGTGAGTTTGGGTTACTTATGATGTCATGAACACCATTTCACCAGATTTGTAAAGTAAAACCTACGCCAAGGGGATACATCAATATGTTTCTAAATTTGCAAACTGGCGACTTCAAAATGAACAGCCCATTCTCACCCCCAAGGCGTCACTTAACTGACGCCTTGGGAAGCATTTGGACATGCTTCAATATCTGACGCTTTAGGCGCCCTTTAGCGTCAGTAAGATGACGCCCTAGGATCGCGTGTACCCTACCCCCACCCCACACCTAAACCTAACCGCGTCCTCTAACTGACGCTTTCCTTTAGCGTCAGTTAGATGACGCCGTAGGATCGCGTCATGTAAGTGACGCTAAAGGGCGCCTAAAACGTCAAATATTGAAGCATGGTCAAAGGTGACGCCTTGGGGTGAGAATGCGTTGAAATGAAAGTTGAAACCCTCATGAGTTTGCGTTTTTAGATGCCCACATGTTATTGTTAAAGGAATTACAGTGGCTGTAACATTTCTATCATAAAGAAGTGGCCAAATATTAAAGAGAGGATCATCCGTGGATCTGCCATTAAAGGTGCATTGCGCAACTTTTCATGTTAAAAATAGCCGTTTTCTAACCCATACATGCTTAAACAATCGCCTGATGGGCTGAATGAACCCTTCTTTGATCACTGCGATCGCCTATATAACCCTGTACAGTGAAATATATAAGAGGGATTCGGGCTCGAATCTGAGACTGGGCGTGACGTCATGCGCGTTCACGCTCGCCTGGCTATGTCTGGCAGGTTCGTGTAGCTATTCGCCGCCGTTCTCCGTATCAGAGAAGACAACTCGAGCGACACAACTCTAGTCAGCTTTCCACAAAAGTAGACGATGGATTCAAAGGGGCTGTTTACACCTGGTCACTTCATGTGTCTTCTGTGATCGGATAGCTATTCGATCGTGAAAAGACCAGGGTGTAAATGCCCTCCGAAACGCATTCGAGACGGATTTGAATTCGATCGCTCAAACCACTTGAGGACGTGGTCTGTGCCGTATTCCAGACGAAACTGGACAAGTGTAAATGCATCTGGTTGTTGAAACCAAGCTATATGTCATTATATTTTAGTCATATGACGACGCGCATCACCTGAGCAGCTGAGCTGAGCCCCTTCATCAAGCGCCGCAATCTATCGCAAATCAAAGTGAATTAGTGAAAGTAAGTCGCAGACGCTTAACACTACCATCTTCATTAAAAGTAAAGAAATGAAATGATCTTACCAGTTCTGTTGCCGATCTCTCTTATTGCTGTCTTTGCTGATTTTGAAATTAGCCGATGATTAATAAAATCCAGCTCATATGTTGCTTTCGGTGACGTGCACTTCATTAAATCTGTATATGGCGCGGAAAGAGACCGGCTTGTAGCTCATTACAAACCCCAATGACTGTAACAAAAGATGTGTGCCGCACAGTGTGCGGCTGATGCTCCTTAGTTATGAACAGCTCGTGCAAACGTGCGTATGTGTGTGTGTTCCTCCATGAACGCGCACAGCTCTGGTTGCAGTTTCGCTTGTCGCCAGAGGGGGCGTAGTTCTGCAAAAACTCAGAGACTTGCGTTTAGCTCCTTTAATGAAGTGAAAAGAGCAAAATTATGGAAATTTTTGCGGTTCCTCACAAATGTGTCGCTCAATTACACACAAGAGAAATACACATACCTTATTAACATCATTAAACATGCACTGCATCGTGTCACACGTTAAGCATGTGTGTGCAAAGAACTCAAAATGGGGATTGAACGGTTAATGCATCAGATAGACTGTTAACTATTTGACTGTGCAGATCATAATGTTCCTCACATTCAGTTCTGCTGAGTAGATTATGGTCAAAACTAATATCTTAAGAAATAATATCTTTCGAAAGAAAGAAAGAAAGAAAGAAAGAAAGAAAGAAAGAAAGAAAGAAAGAAAGAAAGAAAGAAAGAAAGAAAGAAAGAAAGAAAGAAAGAATAGTTATAAAGAAATAAATAAAGAAAGAAAGAATAGTTAGAAAGAAAGAAAGAAAGAAAGAAAGAAAGAAAGAAAGAAAGAAAGAAAGAAAGAAAGAAAGAAAGAAAGAATAGTTATAAAGAAATAAAGAAATATTAGTTAGAAAGAAAGAAAGAAATTTAGAATGGAAAAATAAAGAAATATTGGTTTGGTTTTCTCGACAACTTCAAAGTTCGCTTACAAACTTGCCTAATCTAGTTTACAATGAATGCAGTATTATTTATTATTTTTAATATCTTGTTCTTAAATTTCCATGATTCTTATAAAAATGAATAATTGTCTTTATATTGTTATATGCTCATCTGTAAAGCAGTATTTCTATATTTTCAGCAGTGAAAGTGACTCTGGATGCTGATTCAGCTCATCCACGTCTCATCGTGTCTCGTGACGGGAAACAAGTGAGATGTGAAAACAGCCAGAACGCAGTGGATGATGGAGAACACAGGTTTGATAGATATCTTGGTGTTCTCGGGAAGAACGGATTCTCCTCAGGGAGTTTTTACTTTGAGGTTCAGGTGAAGGATCAAACTAAGTGGGATTTAGGAGTGGCCAGAGAATCTGTTGACAGGAGCGGCTGGATTGATCTGAGTCCTGATGTTGGACACTGGACTGTGAGACGGTTTTATGAGAAGTATTGGGCTCTTGAGTCTCCACCTGTCTCTCTTTCTCTGAGAGTGGATCCTCAGAGGATCGGTGTGTTTGTGGATTATGAGGAGGGTCTCGTCTCCTTTTATGAAGTGGAGTCCACGTCTCATATCTACACTTTCACTGGTCAGTGCTTTAACAAGAAACTCTTTCCATTTGTTGGTTTGGGGTATCAGTATAATGATAACTCCACACCACTGATTATCTGTGAGGATTATTAATGAGGTCAGTGAATGAAATTACACGATCAAATTAAAGGGACTCTGTGTAGATTTTTAGGTATTTTATTATCTGAAATCAATATTTTTATTCATAAATATGTCCTCAATGGTGTACAAATACCTCTGCAAATTATCTGACTTATCCTCGTAAATGAAGAATTTATTATCTTTATGTACATGGGACGGGTAGGTTCACGGAGGCTTCCATGTCTTTCCGCCATCTTGAAAAACTATAATAGCAGAGAGGGTCAAAAAGTACCACCAGCCAAACGCGTTTCCACAACGCGTTTTCGTTCTGACTCAGAGCCATCGTCACGTCACATTGAGAGGCGCATTCCCTGCAAGTTTAAACGGCTGCATTGCACTCCTATGATTGCTGATTGCTCTATTATTTGTAATGGCGGACCATATGCCGAGGTACAGGGAAATGCATTATCCTCGCAAAAAAAGGCCAGACTTGAACGAAAAAGGAAACGTGACCGGAGATTTCGTCCGTCATAAAATTAATCGGATCGGGTTCGATTTTCTGCGTTTTTCGCATCCAGAGCCAGCATTTTGAGAGGTCTTTTGACAATTCAGGGCCGGGGGGAGCTCTTCCTCAAATCATTGCACATATGCGCCGAGCTTTCAGTTTCGGTTTTCAATTCGATCAAGTGTTTATGTTCTCTTCTCTTATTGGATTATGAAATTAATAAACCTCCCCGAATTCAATCAGATTGAAATTTAGGATCGAATAAGGTGTGATTGAGCAGCCTATTCGATAACTAATGTATTTGGGCACAATATACACAATAACAGCCTAGCTGTTCTGTCTGCGCAGCGCTTCCACCGGGCCGCGCACGGGTGTGTGTGTTTATGTGTGTGTGTCCATACCTGGTCCATACCAGACACACTGCCATTCAGAATCGATTGGTTCACGGAAATTGGTGGTCTTGTTTTTAATATGTGGCTCCAGAATCGCTAGCAAAACATCAAACTGTCCCACTGACAGGTAAATTTTGAATCGCTCAGGATAAATTTGCAACTCCTTGATAAGGTGGAACGCTCCTTCCTCTCGGCGCAATTTCAGGATTGGATGGACGTAATATTTTCTATTTCTTCTCTTTTCAATATGAGAGAGGGCAAAAATCATCCTCACTGCTTGACGAATCCATTTGCTATTTTTTCGTTTTTTCCCGCAAAGGTTTAATAAATACGCAACGGACTCGGTGTGCAAGGTTTCTATGCGTGACGAATTTTTAGGCTGATGACAAACACGAAAATACGCATACGAAAATTTCGTACTCAGACTGTGCAATGGCCAAATATCGGGATAGCGTTTTCACGGTGGAAAGAGCTAATGCAGCAGAAAGATTTCAGAAGAGACGCTGAAGTTGCTTTCTCCTCGACAGGTTAGTCAATGTTACAGTCTTACTTAATTTTTTTGTCATTGCTTGGCTGTGTACTTTATTATATAGACAGTATAACATTTATAGGTAAAAAAGTTAAACAAGGTCTTTGATATAGCAGCTATTGACTACTTTACTCGCAGCTATTGTGAAGGTGCTAAAAACAAGGTTTGTAAGTTAACACTTTTATAAACTATAAATTCAGTAAGAATATAGAGATAATGATTTTAAGAAAATATTGAAGAAAATATTGCTCTCTGTAAGATTTTCTATAGCTTTCTTTTTTTATAAATGATCAATTAGCTAAAATTGTGATTTTGCTATGTGGATAAGATTGTACAGAGAATTAAAATTAATTTATACAGCTAGACACATAAATTGTACAAACCTCGGTCGTTTCTCTTCGCTGCCTTTGAAAACTTTCAATTCTACTTTGATCGTCTCTTGTAGTTGCCGGGTATCTTTGTCGTCGTTGTGTTGACTCTCGCGCTCCTCGTCGTCCATCTCCTCGCCTAACGTTAGATCCCACTGATCCACTGCCTCTCTGTCCTCTCCCTCTCCCTACTGCTGAATCATCCGATGATGATATCTAACATCATGATGATGATGATAATATCTAATATCTATCTAATTCGTTTGTTCGTTGTGTCAAGTTGCTGTTTTTTTTTTAAGTTACAAACCTGTTCACCAGGAGAAAAACTCGATGAAGTGTTACTACAAGATATCCTGTCATAGCATTTTTGGTACATAACAGCAACCGTAGATGCAATACGCACTTGAAAAAGCGAGGCGCTGAGAGCAAAATTCGTTTGAATGCAAAATACTATTTAACCACTAGATGGGGGTATTTCCTACACAGAGTCCCTTTAAATAAATGAAATAGACTGCAAAAAGTGTAACAGCCACAAATATGAACTATTATTCACAAATGTGGACACAGAAGTGTGTGTGAGGCGTTCACATGATCACCTGATCATCTCCACTAGATAGTGAATGAAAGTCATCATGAAGTGCTGATCGCAGTAACTGTTCCTCCCTCAATAGTGTTTGTGTTTGTTGATGAATGATTGAGGAAAGCTGGATCAAGCTCAAATATCAGACTCTCTTTTCTCACTTCATCATTCCCACAATGCTATTGTGCTATTCAGATTTCATGTCTTATATATGTGGATAGTGTAAAGAATTAGTGAATTTAAGTTTATTCCTGTATTCATATATTCATATATTAATAGTGCTCATTTGTATTCTTCATTTTCATTCTTTTATTGTTAGGATGGATATCGTTCACCCAAATAGAAAATGTTCATGTCTTTCTAACCCTGCCTTTATTTTTACAGTGACGCTCTTAAAGGACTATGAGTGTCATAATAGTGTGTGTTCAGAGTTAACGGCTGTAATGGACGGATATCACAGGATTCACACTCATGTTCAGTGTTGATGATGCAATTTAAGTTCTATTACTTTTATATGAAAATAAGTATAATGAACAAGACACAAAAAGTACTGTTATTTATTTCCAATCAAAAGATGGGTTTACAAATTATTATTTATTTTATTTGGGTTTATTTAAATTACAGACATGTTTTTATATCTTTTATTTATTTGACAACAATCAAATAATCCGTATGGAGATCGCACTGTCCGAGAGTTTGCTCCGGAGTATAAAAAGTTTTTGTTCATTATTTCAGAAACACATTGTCTCCAGGCCAAACTGTGTTGTTTGCTTGAAGGTTTGTTATGGAAGACCATCTGGACTTTACCTTACAAATATTTATTGATAAATAAAATTAAGGAAATAACTTTCAAAATCTTACACAGGTATTATATATATATTGTGTTTAAATCAAATGATATTGATCTGAACTTCTGTTTGCAACACATTTACTGAAACCTGTTTCATTTATTTTGGCATTGGCTCATGTAAGAACATCTTGGAGAGGTTTGTCTAGATTTATAATTGACAACATCGACCCCACTTTTACTAATATCCCCTCAAATAAAAGGAAAGAATATATAATACATTTCATTTGTGCTAAATGCCATATACATAAATGTAAGAACAGTAAAACCCAACCTTTGTTTTTGGTTCTCGAAAAAGAAATGCAGAAATATATAAAAATACAATTTTTCAATCACAATAAGAAAGCACATTTAAACTTTTTCTGTTTGTGAATCCTTTGTTATATTAATGTTTTAATCACATAAATGCAGTCTTGGTGAAATAATATATATATATATATATATATATATATACACACACAAACATACACTTAACACACTCCAGTAACTGGATCTTCAGGTTTGAATCACATGAGTCAGGTTCACTCACTCTCTCTGGTGTGAAGTTTCGGGCGAGCGTTGTGCGCTGGTGAGGGTCGAGGCCTTGGCAGCCGTTGAGAAACTCTGGCAAGAAGGAAGAGTAAAACGCTTGGAAATCCACAGCCGCCATGTTGTAGAGCGCCAGCGTGATGTCGTCCTGGAGGAGGTCGTGACTCTTGTGCAGCAGGACTTGCAGGAGAACATTTATGAAGTGGAACAGCATGGAGGTCCTGAAACAAACACACGCAAACCACACACACCACTGCGCCTGGACCCATCCCAACTCATCCTGAAGTGCCAGCCTCATCTGCCCTGTGAAGGCCTCATCGACACGAGCCATCAACACTGATACATACCGGCGTGATTACTTCTTCTTCCAAACAGATGGAAATGGACAAATACTCTAAATGTTCTGATCCAATCTGACCTGTAATGCTGCCCGAATCACACACTGTTCCTTCGTTGACCAGAGGAGAACTGGTCCCGAATGAGCCTGGGTTCTCCCAAGGTTTTTTCTCCATAATGACTTTAGATCCATTCTGATGAATGTCTAAAACTATGTGATACTTTGTCTCCTTTGTTTTGCTATTATCTAAACTTATATGACATTTCATGTCAATTTAAAATAAAATAAGATTTATATTATGATGTTTATTGTTTTATATTTTAAGAATACATTTTATTTGTGATAAACTGTTTTTTGAAACATATTTCTGGTATATTGTCAGTAGTGGGATCACAGTTCTCCATATTTTTGTGAATGTGTTTCATCATCCACATTTTTGTTTAATTCCATGTAACACATTCACACAGTTTTACAATTAGCGATCAGAGCTTTAGCATAAAATACCAAAACCAAAGAGAGGATGCAGCATAGATATTTTTTTATTTCTTTTTTTACTGTAACAGCATAAAAAATTCTGTTGTTTTGTATGTAGACCACTGTATGTGCAACTTTGTGTTGGTTGTGGGAAAAATGTGGGATCTATCTCCCATTGATTTTGTGGGAAAAATAAAATATATTTGTTACCGTGTATTTGTGTGTTCTGGGTATAAAAAACAATATTCTCAAATATTTTACAACACACTTATGTATGCAATGTCTGTAGTAAGTGTAACACTGAACAAAAAAGGCCCAAGTCATTATGATGAATGGAGAAGAAGTGTTTTCCATTGATCATAGTGTTTTACATTGAGCACATCAGTGTTCAACTGGTTCTTATAAATGTCTATTCATATGATGGTGTGTGTCATTTGAAAAAATAACATTTTGAGAAGAAATAACATTGTTTTGAATGTAAAGTTTCATTTTGCAGGAGAATTGAGGGGTTTTGCC